TGGAGGTCAGACGTGTCTGGACTTCAGAAGTGACCCAACTGCCCCAAGCTCCAGTTGTGGACTTGATCCCCTTAATACCACCCCAAACGTGCAGTGGTGGTGTGGGGGAGGACAGGTCCCATTGTCTCAGGAGGACTCTTTTGGGTGGGGATGGGGGCCAGAGCCTCTGCGGAGGGGGCAGGGTCTACAGAAAGCCCTGATCTTTCCCAGCAGCTCCCAGGAAAGCGTCCCTCCCCCATGGTTCATTTTATACCAGAATGATTCCCAGCACTTTGATCCCATGCCCTGACTCACCAACCTGGTTTCTGTTGCACCAGAGCTGGTCCAGGCTCCTGGTGAGGAGGGTGAGGGGTGGTGGTGGTCCCAGAGCTGTCCATGGGGGCCACAGCATCTCCCCCAATCCCCATACCTTCCAGGGGTGTGGTCCTCAGTTAAGTCCGATGGACACATTCCTTGGGATCAGGCTTGTGCGGTGAAGATGTACAGGTTGAATGGAGGAGCCATTTGGGGCTCCTCCTGGGGAGCCTCTCCAGGCCTCAGGCATCTGCCAACAGCGCTCTCTGCCCCAGAGCTACTTTGCTGCCTCAGCCCATGCAGTTGTGGGGACCTCCATACTCCTGCCAAACTCTCCTGCAGGGTCCCCTGGGAATGTGGAGGGAGAGGCCTGTCTCTGGCCCCTCACATGGGCATGGCAGGAAGATGGTACCCTCACACAGTGCAGCTCTCTGAACAGGAGGTGAGTATATGCAGGGCCCATATACACCCCAGGAGCAGACATCTCAAGTGGAGCCTGGTCAGTCCAGGGCCATGCCCCACAGGGCCTGAGGAGATGCTAGGGGTGTGTGGGGGCAGGAGAAGGAGACTTGTTATGTCCCCAGATTTGAGTCCCACCTGGAGGAGTCTGGAGGTGTGAAGGTGCATTTCCTACCTGGGGGCAGAGTTTCTGGGGGACCCTACTTTGGACTGGGTTGGCCCTGCCCACATGCTGGTTCCAAAGCTCTTTTGGCTAACTGCCACAGCTCTCACCCTAGTCTCATGGCAGGTGGGGAAGAAGATAGGCAGGATCTCAGGGCTGGAGCGATGGCTCAGCTGTTAAGAACACCGGTTGTCCTTGCAGAGTGTGGGGATTCAGTTCCCAGCATCCATATGGCAGCTAACAGCCGTCCTTAACTCCACCTCCAAGGGATCAGACACCCTCTTCTGGTCTTTGAGGAAACTAAACACACATGGTGCACGACATACATGCAGGCAGAATACTCACACACATAAAATAAAAATAAATAATTCAAAGACAAGTTATGTCATAGGTGAGAGCACTTAGGCAACACACCTGCAAGTCCTGGTCCCCTGTCCCACCTGCCTTTTGCCTTACCCACTTCTCTCCAGGTTGAGGGTAGGCTGGAGGCCTGGGTCATGGCCTCCTGGTTCCCTGTAAGCCGAACTCTGGTCTGGGAGGCAGAATAAGGGCTGGACATGTCTACCTAGAGCTTGTTCACCTAGGGAGAGGCTGGTCACTGCTTTGTGCAGATCTGAGCAGGTGGCCTGTGGTGGTGCAGGGAGCATGTGGTGCCCAGAGAGGAAACAGAAGGCTCAAGGCTGGGTCTCTGGCTAGCAGAGGGGAAAGGTGGTGGCTCCCAGGGGGCCTCTGAGGCTGAGGGACCAGCAGGAGGGGAGCGCAGGGGATCTCCCGGTAGGGTGGCGGTGGCGGGAGCAGGGAGTCACTCATTCATCCTCCTGGCTGGCCACTTCTGGCTGAGCATTTAACTGGCACTTAGGCCAAGGTAAGCTCCTCCTTACCTGCCTCTGCCCCTTGCTGCTGCACAGACAGGACGCTCAGAGTTGCCACCCACAGACTTTGAACACATCGCACAGCTGTGTACTGAGAGCTCCCCCATGCCTAGCCTGAGAGGAGCCTCACTGCCCCACCAGCCCCCGGCAAGCTCGCCAGGGCCAGGGCCCAGCAATTAAAGCCCCCTGGTCTCCAATTGGTTTGTAGTATTAAAAACGAATTGCGATCAACCGGGTTGTCATTTCTACCTGATAAAACATCACTTTTATTGATCCCGCTCACCCAGTGCCATCATTTACCTTGCTTCAGCATTTCACATAATGGCTCGTTTGTCTTGATCAAAGTGTAGTCTTGCATGTTTAACCCTCGGGGCTCCGTAGCCCATGTCCTTCCCTGCAGATCCACCCTGTCCTTGGCCCAGGCCCTGTTCTGGCGGTGGCAGGTTCTCGAAGGCCAGGACCATACACTCTGTCTGAGGTGAGGTGGGAGGAGGGAGGGGCAGAAGAGCCTAGGTAGCCTGGGGATGTGGAAACAGGCTGGGGCCTGTTCTGGCTGGGCCATGTCCTACCCATGTCCAGCATGTGCCTGCAGAGCACCTCTTGGGAGGACCTGGAGGTAGGAGCGTCCTGGTGTGTCCTGGAGTCCCTTGCCCCTACCCATGTCCAGCATGTGCCTGCAGAGCACCTCTTGGGAGGACCTGGAGGTAGGAGCGTCCTGGTGTGTCCTGGAGTCCCTTGCCTGTGGCTCACCCCGCTTACTGTGCTCCTGTGCCTGTGTGTGGCCCTCTTGTACACCCCAAGCCTGGCTCTTGGTGCAGCCTCTTCACTGGAGTCTGAACTAGCCTGGCCCCTCTAACCCTGAAAGATGCTGTCCACCTGTGGATTCTGCCTAGTGCCCCTCGGGTGATCTGGGAGCCCTGTCCTCTGGCTCTGCCACCCTTTATCTCCAGTTTACCACTTTCTGCCTATTGTCTACCCTCTACCTGCCCTGCCCTCTCTGGGATCCCTGAGTCTCAGCTCAGGTAGCACCTCCTCGAGAAAGCCTGCCTAGAGCATCGACATTTGTTCTAGAGCCCTGTGCAGTCTCAGTATCGTGATTCTGTGAGGAATTTATCCTGGCCACCTGGCCCCAGTGCAGCTGCTGGCCAGCTGTTCTCAGCCTTTCCTGTCTGGCTGTATTGGTGCCATGGAGTCTTGGAACCATGGGGTCTGGGAGGTGGGCTCTGGGCTTCTCAGCTACCCCTGCTGTGCACACAACTTAGCTCTGCTGGCTGCAGTGGAATTGATGGGGGTCCAAGGCCTGCTGGCAGGGTTCCTGCCAAGCTCCAGGGCAGATGTCACCCACCCTTCAGTGCCTTGTCACCTGCCTGGCTCGGGTCCCACCTACTCTCGGCAGAGCCTCCCTGTGTGATCCCCTGAGCCAGGTAGGGTGTGTGTGTGTGTGTGTGTGTGTGTGTGTGTGTGTGTATGTGTGCGTGTGTGTGTGTGTATGTGTGTTACTGGGAATTGAATCCAAGGCCTTGTCTATGTTAAGTGTTCTATCACTGAGTTACAGTTCCAAGAAAACAGACTCTTTAAATAATGTTATTTATTTAATTTTATGTGTATAAGTGTTATGCCTGCATGTGTGTAAGTGCACCCATGTTGTGTAGTGCCCACAGAGGACAGAAGAGGGTGTCGGATCTCCTGGAACCAGAGTTACAGATAGCTGTCAGCAACCATGTATGTGCTGGGATTCAAACCCCGGTCTTCTGCAAGAATAGCCAGTGCTCTTAAGCACTGAACCATCTCTCCAGCCCCATCTTTTTATTTTATGTGTATGAGTGTCCTGACTATATGTAAGTGCACCTGTGTCATGCAACGCCAGTGGAGGTCAGAAGAGGGTGTTGGATCCCCTGGAACTGGAGTTATGGATGGTTGTTAGCCACCATGTGGGTGCTGGGAAGCAAACCCAGGTCTTCTTCAAGAGCCCAGCCGCTGCTCTTAACCACTGAGTCATCTCTCCAGTCCCCAGAAAACTGACTCTTGCGTGGGCAGAAGATGACATTGTCCAAATTCCTATCTCAAGGACTCCAGGAACCACAGAGGCACAGCTTCCACTGCCTAGATCTGCTCCAGGTTGTATTCTGCCTAGCAAAGAATGCAAGTTCCTGCAGTTGGGTGCCTGAGCTGGAAGCCCAATGCAATGCATCCATGCTCCTCCTCAGCTTAGGGCCCAGGTTGTCACCAGGGCACTGGGCAGTCAGGTATGGCAGGACATCTGCTCCCATGCTTGCCTGAAGGAGGGGGTCATGTGCTCAGAGACTACCAGGGCTGAGTCCACAGGCTCATGTACAACTAACTAATCTGCCACGGCCCTGGGCACTGAGATCTCCCCTTGCCCCCTTCATAGCCTCTATCTAACCTGCCCTTAGAACTTGGAATGGGTTGAAGGAAGAGTCTGGTTGCAGACTTTGTAGCAGGCCCTATCTGGGCCACACAGGCACTTGGATCCTATCTTGTTCCATGAGAGGGGGAATCTGGCTCAGGTGGTCCAGTGGATGGCAAGAAGGTGGTTGTGGAGAGAAGGCAGGGCTGGAAGGTGGGCTGGGTGTGTGTGTGTAGCCCTGAAGCTCCTGATGTGGAGGTGAGGAGCCATGGACCCAGCCCTGCTCCCAGAGCCAGCCTCTCCTTACTACCTTACCCTGGGTTGTCTTCCTCAGTGTGTCTGTGGTGACCTAAAAGCAAGGGGTGTCCAGCCTGGTCAATGTTGGGCTTCCTTTGGGTTTGGCTGCAGTTGGGGGACACATGGTCCCCACTCCACACCCTACCTCCACGCCTGCCTCTTGGCATGCACTCAGACTGTTGACTTATCCCCTGCACAGTTGTCAGGCAGAAAAATGCTTGTTAAATGAATCAATTCAGTCTCTCCCCAAGGCAGTGTTCACAGCACCTAAGTAGGATTTGGGGCTACCCTTATCCCTTACCCCATGCTTGTTCCCCTTCTGGGACACCCACCATGTCCATTTGGAACAAGTGACCCATCATTGGTTCAGGCCTGACTCACAGGTCTAAGTTTAAGAAGGGCCCATGATGTTGGGAGGGTGTCTCCGAGTCTAAGCCCCTCCCCCCAACCCGTTCTAGTCACTCAATCTTCTTTCAGCCCAGACAGGAGTGACCAGTGGAGGCAGACACACAAGAGGCAGGCACAGTCACAATCTGGACCACTGAGCACCTGTACAATAGTTCATATATTTATTCTTAAGCAAGTTATCAATAAAAAATTTAATACTAAAATGCCTTTACATAGTTTGCTGTTCATAAAATCTTTGTGTTTTTTGTTTGTTTTTAGTGTTTACATTGAAAAAAAAATTCCAACCAGCCTCTTAGTTTACACATTTACAAGAATCGTGCTTTCGCCACGGTTAACCACGGTTGGGGAGGAGGGGGTCAGGCTGTTGGTGCACAAACAGAAAGGAAACAGGAAGGAAAAGATGAGGACAACGAGGACAGCTCAGGAGGAGGGAAAGAAACATCCAGAAGGCGGCCCACAAAACGGGCCTTCTGCTCGCTCCTGGGTACTGGGGTGCCAAGCAGCCTCTTCCTAGCACCAACCCTGGCATATGTCTTCTTACTCGCCATCTTTCTGACTCCTTAGCCGTGAACAAGACCTTGGCGGCCATCTCCCCTGAGACCGCCAGGAGTGAAATATTGCACACAAGTGGAGACACAGGGAGCCTCGAGGTGATGGGACAGCTTGAGGCGGGGTACTCTCGGACACCCTGTAGGCCACCAGGAGTGGCCCTTTGGGCAACCGCTGAGGGAAATGAAGTCCCTGGGTTTGGGACAGGCTCTTGGTGGGCCTGAGCAAAGAAAGGGAGGTTGAGGGGGTCCCAGTTAGTGTTGGGTGCCCATTGACACCCCTTGCTTCCCAGGGATTTCCTGCCCCTCCCCGTGGGGCCACAGAGCCTTGGCCTGGTAGGACATGGGGAACATGTAGCCAAAGGCATTGCTGAGAACATGGGTCTTTGGCCATAGGTCTGGCCTGCTCTGTCCATTATGGGAGAAGTGAGGGTTCCTGGGCTTTCCTGGTACTTGGGGCTAAGGTGTGGGTACAAGAGGCCATGCATGAGCCTGCCATGCTATCTGCCCTGCCGAGTAGGTACAAAACAGACCCAGAAATTGCCATGGGGGTGGGGTGGGGTGGGCCCAGGGTCTGGGTTGAGGGAAGAGGAACCAGAGATGCCTTTCTCCCTTGGGTGGGCAGTGCCTGCCTTTCTACTGTCCTTCCTAACCCCAGCAACTCTGAACCAACCTGACTCCTATCTACATTTGAGGTTAGCCAGAGGTGGTGGGACTCCAGGGAGAGTGTGGTGGGGAAAGGGGAGTCTTAGTAGTGAGAAGAACTTAAGAGGGAACTGTGGACCAGCCCCAGGTGGGCCCCAAATTCTGACCCAGACAGGGATCTGGACCAGCTGCACCATTGTGGTGGCCCTGCTGCTCTCGGGAAGGGCAGTTGGCCTCCTGGAGGTTATGTATGGAGCTCAAGTGGTTGGGGTGGAGGGGGACTAGGGGATGATCACACCTTGCTCTGAGTGAGGCCAGACTTCTCTCCCTGCCACAAATTGGCCTTAGAAACGGAAACCAGAAATAACTTGGAATACTCAGGAAACAAAATCTAAACCTCCATTTTTCTTACTGATACTTCAAAATATTTGTTCGTTATTTTGTTTTTAACAGAGGTAAGGTACACATGGCTGCTGCCACACTCCTGGGCTGGGGGGACAGGCTGATCCTAGTTTTCATCTTGTGACTGGGATTCCAGGGGGACTACCATCACTGCCCCCGCCCCTAACCCAAATACGTTTATGTAGGAGAACTACTGAAAGGGGACAAACTACAGTGTGACTTCCATTTCACACGGTTAGCCTCCAAGATACTGGAGGGTATGACAGGGATCTGACCTATCCCGAGGCCTTTGGCCTTGCCCCCACTCCAGCAGCCTCTGCAGTCACAGGTGCCCCCAACCTCCACTGGAACTCAGCTAGACTGAGGAGAACAGTGCATTTCCAAAGAAAATCCCAGAACAAAATCCCTACTCTCTCTCTCTCTCTCTCTCTCTCTCACACACACACACACACACACATGCACACATAAGCGTGCACATACATACACACATGTCCACCTTTGTCTCTCAGGTGGGGAAAAATCCTTTTCCACTTTTTTCCATAAAACACCGCCACAGAAATACAATATTTACATAGAGAAATAAATAGACAACACACCTGATTTCTGCTTTCCCTGGTGGGAGACAGTCGGAGGTACTAGGGAAATATGGCTTGGATTCTAATCTCTCGAGAACTGTGGTGCAGAGGCAGAGCCGCAGGTCCCCTCAGGGATAGCCCGGCCCTCCCTGTGGAGCAGCTAGGGTGGGACTAGGGTCCAGCCTAAAAGCACTCTCCATAGAACACCAAGGAGAGCCCTCATCCTGCCCCCCCCCGGGGGGGGGTGCATATCTGCTCAGACCGGCTCCTGGCCAGCCGACCTCTTGGCCACACCCGTCGGCTAGGGTGGGCAGAGACAAACGCAGCTCAGCACAGGATGGGCACGCCGTCAGCTGTCACCAGGCGCCCAGTGGTAGGGTCGTAGGTGCCTGCCAAGTAGTAGAGGTCCTGCTGGTCCCGGTGTCTGCGGCTCCGCGTCATCTGCTCGTACCGCTCACGCCCCACCACCTGGCACTTGTGGGAGATGGTCTGCACATCGTTCTCATCCTCATGGCAGGACTGATACAGCGCGTTCTGCTGGGCAAGGGCACAGCGTCGGGGCCAGCCTCAGCCTGCACGCTTTCCAAGGCCATCTTCCCTGAAGTCAGGGAGCCTCGACTGGGGGACCCCCGTGGCTGCTCGTGTTGGGAGAAGCTTGCCTCTACTCAGGCGGGTTTGCCTGTGTGGCCCAGAAGCAGGGTTCCTTCTCTGAGAAGCCCAGAGCACGAGTTGGGGTAACTTTTTGTCTGGGGCTGGCACTCCAGGTGGGGAGCAGAAGGCCCAGGGGGCAGGGAGGGGCTGCCTGGATTCCTAAGCATGAACTGGGCCTGCCCCAAGCCAAGTGCCACCAGTGGGGCACAATCACCTCAGATCGTACGTGGAGCCGTGTAAGGGGAGCAGGTGGCTTGCTTCAGGGCCTGGCTGCAACTGCCCCATTTCCCAAAAGCCAGACATCGAGGGCTGGAGAGGTGCACCAGCCGATGTTCCCCCGATTCAGCAGACACCACCCGTCCGAGAGCCCCGCGTAGCGGTTGGTCCCCCATCGCACCTGCCCACACCTTACCTTCCCGTCGCTCTGCCGCTTCCCCAGCTTGGTCTCCTCAGGGTGGTAGAACCACTTGACTTTCACTACCATGTTGCTTCCCCAAGACTCCCACAGGCTCTCAATGCGGCCAATGTAGGGCAGGTTGGGCCGTCCAGCGGACAGGAAGACTGCACAGTCCCCAATGCGTAATGTCTCCTTGCCACGGACGATGGCCTTGTAAAACAGCTTCCTGGCCTTCCCCTTCATGCCCCGCCTCTGCAGGGGAGACAACCAGAGGCAGAGGGGTGATGAGGGACCCAGGAACATTAAGGGTGGCCAGGAAACTGAGAGCATGCAGGAGGAACAGATGGTGTGTCTTCTATGTGTGTATACAGGGCAGGAAATGGACACACAACTGCTGGAGGGGGCCACCAAAGCCACAGGTCCCTGATAAGGTAGGCCACACTGGAATTTTCTCTGCACACTGGTCATGACAGAGACTGCAACATGGTCCAAAGGTACATGGGAGATGGGAGCAGAGAGATGTACGAGACGTTCACGACAGTGCTGTTTACAAGGGAAAGAAATTGCAGATGTTTGCTGTAGTTCGGTTTAAAAGGGTGAAAAACCCGCAAGCAGCCACAGGTCCACCTACAGAGCAAACACTGGTTTGTATGTTTGTACGTTCAGGCAATGGTGTCTTTTGCACCTTCCAAAGCTTATGTATCAACAGGGAAAGTTGCTGGCAGCATTGCCAAGGGTCACCGCAACATGAAAGCGCAGCACAGCAAACACGCCTGCGCAGATCGTCTGTGTGACCACGCAGGCAAGGCAAAGGCCGCAGAGGGGCAAACTGCAATGCTGGCTGTTTGCCTTGTTAGATCACCGGTGAGTTTTTTATCTTGCCTGGAGGTTTTCAAACGATTTATTTGAAAGCGGAGAGGAAAATCAACAAAAGAAATGCGAGGTCTGGGGGAGCAAGAGCCAAGTCCATTTCTTTGGAGACATGAGCTCCCCTGGGCTCCCTGTGCACCAGGGAGACAGGCCGCTTACCTGTGTGGGGTTCCCCGACCACTTCCAGAGCTGACGGGCAGGTAGGAAGGCTGAGATCTTTGGCCGGTTTTCCACGGAAGGCGGCCGTTGCCTCCGAGAAAGCTCTTTGGCTTTGGAGAAGCTCAGGGCCTCCTTGCGTTTGAGCTTGGATTTGCCACCGCTGGGTCCTGCGCCCGTACCCGCACCAGCCACCCCGGCCCTGGACAGAAAGCAGCGCTGGGCATGGGTATGGGGGCTACCACCTTTGGAGCGCAGGGCTTCCGGTGGGGCCAGGAGGGTGGGTACAGGGCGGGTGAGACAGGTCTGCAGCAGTAGGGCAGGGTCCTCGTCATCTGAGCTGTAGGAGGAATCCTCATTGTCTGACGAGCAGAGGCTGGAGGTGGACATGGAGCCTGAGGAGGAGGATGTGGACGAGCCGGAGGAGGAGGATGACATGGACAGACGGGTGAGGAAGCGGGAGGGCACACCAGTGGCCAGCCCTGGCCCATCCTCATCCTCATCCGAGTAGGAGCTGGGACAGTCACTATCACAGGGAAGTGGGTACTCAGTCTGGCCTGTGTACTTTCGCAAGGCCAGCCCCATGGGCAGGGGATGCATGGGTGCCCGCCCCTTCCTGTCCTTGCCCACAAGGGCTGGATGTGCATAGCTGGGGCTGGGTAGAGGTCGCCCCAGCTTGGGGCCAAAGTCCTTGTCGCTCGTGAGCAAAGCCTTGCAATTCTTGTTCTTGGGGGAGGTCACGCCTTCATGGTCCAGCTTAACCAGGAACTCGCTGCCCGCCCTCCGCCGCTCAGCCTTTTCAGCTTCGGCCCGCTCAACCTTCTTGGCTCTAAGCAGCTTGTGGGCTCCCCCGGGCAGGCCCGCGCCAGTCCCTCCAACGAAGGGCGTGTAGGAGCTGGCCAGGCTGCTGAAGGAGTCAGCTCGGAAGCCGTTGCCGAACACGGGAGCGGGCATGCTATGCATGGGAAACAGGGCCTCACGGGCCCGCAGCTTCTTGGCGCTGCCGTTGAGCTGGAAGAGGTTCTGCAGCACCCCCGGCCCTTTGCCACCTGCCGCCGCCACAGCCACTGCCTTCCGCTTGGTCTGAGCCACTGCCGACCAGCTCAGCAGGGGACTGCCCCTGCGGCCTAGGAAGTGGTCTGGGGCCCCCGTGGGGGACTTGGCACCTGAGGTTAGGAGGTCGACTTTGCCTGGGGGGGAAGCCAGGTAGAGTCAGTTGTACCTGCCGCGCCCACCCAGCTGTCTCCACTCACCCCTCCCCGACCCCACAGGGCCGCATGCGCCTCTCAGTGGCCCCACCCCCAGGGGCCCTCCCTGCCCAGTTCTCAGCGCTTCTGCAAATACCAGCTTTGTCTTTGCCGACAGATTTCTTCCCGGGGGTCTTGGAATCGGGACCATCCTGCGCTTTGGGGGACTGGCCGGGAGTGGGGGCTTCGCTGGGTGGGGGAGGCTCGTTGGACGCTTTTTTGGTCCTCCGACAGCTGCCGGAGACCAGCAGGGCTGGGGAGGGCTCTGTACCTGTAGAGTGGACAGAGCTCATCATGGGCCTGCTGCTGGGTCACTGGTACCCCTCCCCTTCCCTCTCCTCAGGAGCCTTTCCAGAGCTGGTGGGGCCAGCTGGGGTCCTGGGGTGCTCACACTGGATCTTGAAGTCTGGAGGCAGCAGCCTGATGTTAGAGACAGCGATGTGGCCTGTGTCCCCGTCATCAAACTCTACCACCACAGAATCCAGATCCTCTTCCTCATCACTAGAGGCACCTGCAACGGGGCATGTCCTTAGTATGTGGCCAGCCCTGCTGGCAGGAAGGCAGGGGTGGACAGGAGGGCAACAGGGTTGCTGAATCAGGGCACTTCTGCAACTTGACCACATCGGGAACCTGGTAAACCCCTCCTTGGTCACCTGGTGGTGTAGTCACTGGTCCCCCGCTCCTGGCACGCACGTGTCTTGGTCTCCCCCCACACACATACACTGGAGCAAGGATGTTTCTCTGTGATCCTCCCAGGAGTGTCCAGCAGGCCTTTGCCTACTGTCCACTCACCTGTCAGGCCAAGAGTCCTCCTGCCCTGAAGGGCCCCACATGCCCTGCCTTAGGGTCAGAAAATTTTGTCCAGGTAAGCTGGTGAGCACACATGATAAGATTTGGGGACCCTAGCACTGGGATTTGGGGGTCCTTTCTTTGCTCTGCCTCCTCTGCTTAGGTGGACACGGGAGTCTCCTCTATCCCACAACCTCTCATTCAGAGCAGGACTAGGCATGCCCTGTTCCAGCCTCTCTGGAGCTCTGTAGGTCACAGAGGACAATGGCCCCAGTGTTGGCCTTTGGTATGTTTAATGGTATGTTTACCTCGAACCACATTGCCTGGGTATAGGCACCGAGACTTCTGGCTCCAGTAGGCACAGACCCGGGTACCAGGTGGAAGGTACCGACTGGATTGTGGCCGGACATCAAGAACCTGCGGAGAGTTGCAGGGGAATAGTCTACGAGCAGCAGCGTCTAGCCACATGGCTCATTGCAGGGCCAAGTCAAGACCCTTTCAGTGGTGGGAACAGCCACTGGGCCCACCTCCCCAGGCAGGGGCCGTCCTTACTGCCTCCTGCAGCAACTGCTCCAGCGAATAGATACGTTGGCGGTTGCCTCTCTCACCCTCGATGACGATGCTGTAGCTGGGGGCACAGAGGGGGAGGTTGAGACGCCTTTAGGAGTTTTACTACCCACCAGGTTATAGCCCACAGGCATTCCTCCCACCCGGGCCTCACATGTCGGGGGGCTGCAGGGTCCTGACACTGCCTGCATACAGCAGGCTGTCCTCCTTGGGGATCAGCACAGGCAGTCCGTCCTGCAGGTCCTCCTTGCGGATGCTGCAGGAGCGTGCTGAAGGACAGAGTGTCAGTGCTGGGCCCCGGCCCACTGGGCCCGGCCACCACTCCCTCCCAGGCAGATGACACCCATGCTGCTTACCCAGGGCGGCACTCTGCTCCACACTTAGCTGGACACCGGCCTCCTCTTCCTCCCCCTCCTCGTCTGAGAAGCTGCTGTCATCGTCAAACTCGAAGTCATCCTCCACAGCAAAGCTCTCCAGCAGCCGGCTCACAGCTCGGCCCTGGCCCTGGGTGGGCCACAGGGGTCAGGGGGGAGCTGGGAGGGGCTGGGCCCCCACTGGGTCCCCAGCCAGGGAGGGCTGCTACCTGCTTGCCGATGGTCTCACTTTTCATCTTTGCCAGCTTCCTGCCCTTCTCCAAGATGGCCTTGGCATTGCGGGCTGACAGGGCAATGGACAGCGCCCCATTCTTCCGCTGCTCAGGAAGGGGAGACGGAGAAGGACAGAAATGAGGGAGGGTTGGAACAGCCTCCCTGGCCAGCATAGCTGTGACTCAGGCCGACTGGGGGTTTAGGGTTGCGAGGAGGAGAAGCTGTGGACTCTCTAAGTCCTTTCCCAATTAGTGCCCCTCCTCAGGATGTCCACTGAGCACTCTGGTGCCTGCTGACCCCACTGGCCTACCCGCAGTACTGGCTGCAGCACGGTGCTCTTGCGTGTGGCTCTCTTGAGGCGCTCACTGGCTAGTTTGCTGCCCTCCTCTCGGCAGGCAAAGGTCCGGGTGGGGCTGAAAAGAGCATCCCTGGTGGCGGCAGCCCCCGGCTCTGCGCACAGGCCACCCCTTGTCTTGTCCTTGACCTTCTTGCCTGGTGTGCCTGGGGGCCGCCGGCCAGGGGCTCGCTCCAGCTTGGTGCCCGCCTTGGCCTTCACTGTCCTCCTCTTGATCTTAACCTCACTCTCAGGGCTGGACAGGCGGCAGGCCCCTGTGGGAGGGAGAGAAACAGTCACTGGAGTCCTGGCTGTGTGGCCCTTGTTCCCGGCCTGTGCTGTCTTCCTGGTTACCTAGCAAGCCCTGCCTCTCCTTCTTCTTCTTGGCCTTCTGGTTGGCTTCCATCTTGACCACGGAGGAGGGTGAGGGTCCCAGCGTCGCCACACTGGCCCCTGGGTGCAGCAACAGTCCAGGTTCCCTGGGACCTGCCTCTGTCCCCAGGAGTGCCTGGCAATCCTCACTGTCATAGTCACTGCCTGGGGGACAGCAGAGGGGACTTGGTGATGGGTGTTGAATGTAGCTATTTGGGGTGGGTCTGGGAAGGATGGCTAATGGAGACCCTCTGAGATGCTCTGGAGGGGTGGGAAGCTGGGGTCTGAATGGTGTTTGGTAAGGGATGAGAACAGGGTTTCTTTTTGCAGCCCCAACTTGCAGGACTGGGCTCCTCTCTGGAGAGTCCCTCCTCCTCCCTCTCTGCATCCTCTGGCCCAGCTGGCCCCTGGCTTCCTGCCCAAAGCTCTTCCCTTTGTTCTCCCTTAGCCTCTGACCCCGGAGGGGGGTAAGGGAGAAAGGAAATGTCTATTTTTCCAGGCTGTTTCTGGACTTGTCTGCCACGGAAGGAAGAGATACCCCAGCAGCCTGCGGGATGTTGCAGGGCAGAGGTGAAGAGAGGTTATTTTTAACCTGCTTGCCAGGGTGTGTCTAAGGCTTCTTTCTGCCCTAGGCAGGACCTGACCTGGGGACAAGGGCTCCCTTCTCTGCCCGTCGTCCCTGGATCTGTCCCACTTCGCAAACTGCACCTGGTTCCAGTGGTGGCCACAGCCTCTGTGTATCCCTCCTTCAGCCCCCAGGAGACCATGGCCCTGGCTGGGGTCACTCATACCAACTTGCCTGCCTCATGTGCCACAGTCACTGCGGGCTGAGGCGGGAACTTGGGCATCTCCCTGCCACCATCCCCATCAGGGTGTGGGTGCTGCACTGCTCCAGACACCTTGACACTCTTGGCTCTGGACAATTTCTTCCGGATGCGCCCACCTGGGGTGGCCTCTTTGCGCTGGAAGGCGCTGAGGCCAGCAGGCAACCCCGTGTTCTTGACCTTCGGCTTCAGGTGGGCCACCTTGTGGTCCACTGAAGACGACAGCTCTGCCTGGCCACTGCTCCTCTTGCATCGCACCTTCTCCTGCAAATGGGAGAGAGCTGCCCCTCAGGCGTGGATTGAGTCACAACCCCTGGCCTGTGTTTCCCTGTCGATGTGGAGCCCAGACAGTGGCACCCCTGGGGACTTGCCCTGAAAAGGGACTGAGGACATCTGGCCTAGGACACAGGGCTGCCCCCTGGGGCAAACACCCCACCTGTCCACCCTACCCTTTCTAGTCAACTGAGGGTGGAGGATCAGAGCCCAAGGGTGGGAAGGCTATGGGTGTCATGGTTAGGTACTGGCTCAGCGGTTAAGGGCACTGGCTGCTCTGGCAGAGGACCTGGGTTTGGTTCCTAGCACCCACATGGGGGCTCACAGCCGCCTGTAGCTTCAGTACCTGTTCATGATGCACTTACACGCCTCATCCACATAAAATAAAAAATAAATTTAAAAATGAGGAGTGCCTTTGGCAGAAAGGCCAGTTTCCTGCCTGCCTGTAGCACTTGAGAGACAGAGGCAGGAGGATGGCTGCAAGTTCAAGGTTAGCTTTGGTTTATATGACAAGTTCTAGGGCAGTCAGGGCTATGTAAGGAGACAAAAAAAAAAGGAAAAAGACTGACTGGCCTCTTGACACAAAAGGAGACAGGCTGAATGGCAATCGGCTTGGTCTGGCCCAGGACCTTGGAGGATGGGAAGGGCGGAAGGACCCACCAGGATTACACCTGGCACTGTGAACACAGAGCTCAGAGCATGGCACTCTGGCACGTATTCCTGTCCTCAGCACGCTACCTACACAGCTTTCCTTCTGGAATGAGAGGAAGGGGAGGGACAAAGGCAGCAAGTGATAAACAAGGCCTCACAGGAGACCTGCTGCGTGTGCCCTTGGGGAAACAGCCCTTGGTTACTACAGCTGTGTGTTCAGGGCTCTCTTTCCTTTGACCAAGGCACTAAAATCATATCCAAACCCTGGTTGACTCACTTGGGCTTAACGCCTGGTACCCATATCCAACATCTCATGCATCACACCCACCTGAAGTGAGGGTGGAGAGACCTGGAGACTCACCGAGGCAGCCGTCTGCAGGCCCGCATAGACGCTCTTTTCTAGTTTGTTTCGCTTTCTTGTGGGCTCGTCACCCCGAAGCTCAGCACACAGTAGACTCAGACTGGCACGCACAGTCCTGGGAGCAAAGTGGTGGTGGATATGGAGCAGGCAGAGGCACAACAGTACAATCTAGGCACCAAAACCCCTCCAACAGTCCCTGTGGTATGTCCTAAGGAGGCGACGGTGTGCAAAGGACAGCCTCCTGCCTCATCGGCTGAGAGCAAACCCTGGGGGTGTCTGGCCAGTACTGAGCTCCCCTGGGTACCTGCCTCCTGGACAGACCCTTCTGCCTGCTGACTACCAGGCCCTGATCATCCTCAGAGAGACTTTCCTAGAAATAGGATATCTCTTCCCTCCCAACTCATCCTTTCTCTCTCCTGGGAGGGAATGCCTTTGGGGTGTCTAGATATAACTAGTGACCTAGACCCCAGGCAGAGGGACCTGGGGACTGGGGAGGATACTGGCTCCCTGAGAGGTAGCCCAGTGCTTGGGAGTCAAGATTGGGCACAGGTCTTTCCACCAGGTATATGGAAGAATATGGGCTCCTGTCTGTGGGGTTGGGGTGGGGAATCACACTGGTCTGGGTTTGGCCATTGGGATAGTGCACACCTGTAATCCCAGCACTCAGAGGGCTGAAGCAGGAAAACGTACCATATGAGGTCAGTCTGGGATACATGGCCAGACCTTGTCTTTGGGGGGAAAAAAGATGACTAGACACTAAGACTAAGAACAAAGGACACTAGGGCAACTGCACAGGAATAGGGTCCACGGCTAAACGGGGGGCGGGGGACAGTAGGCAGACGAAGGCAAACTCTCCTTCCCAGACTTCAGGAGTCTCACTAGGGGGCCAGGCCCTTGATCTAGAAGGGACCAGGGGAGCTTCTGAGGCTTAGCCTCAGTTTCCCTGTGTACCATGAATAAGTTATCTCCTTTAGGCTGAAGCTAGGTCAGGGGCCAACAGGGCCAAGCAGTTACTGTGGAAACTGCTGATCCCCCCTCTCCCTCTACCCTCATGCCCTGTGGGCAAACTCCTGTCTCTCAGATGTCCCAGTGATTTCATTTCCTTCCTAGCTCTACTTCCCAAGAGGGAATCAACACCAAGGTATTATCTGCCTGCCCACAGCTGGGCAGGGGCTGGGGGCTGGTTTCTACCCTTCACCCTGCCTCCAACAGGCAGAAGGGAACTGAGCACTCATGAAAAGGAGCGGCAGCTGGGGACCGAGGGCCTGGTCTGGCCTTGGTCTTCTATGGCCAGATGCCTCCCCACCTTCCTGTCCAGCGAGGAAGCTGGGCCTCTGAGACAGGAAGCCCCTGCAGCTCTGGGAGCCTCCTTGCCCCGACTTCCTGCCACCTCGCCTGGCCTCCCACTTCCTGCATGGAGGGAGGAGGCCCAGCCTTTCTGCCCAAGTCCTGTTGCCCCCACTGGGTCCTGGAGTAAGGTTAGAGTGGTGACATGAGCTGGAGGTGGGGAGATCAGTGGGAGACATGAACTTTGGTCTTAGCTCCTTGCCTGCTCTGAGGCCACTGGCTTCTCTGGGTCATAGGTGAACTTGGGGGCGAGGTGATCATGGGTCAAGCTTCCTTGCTGGGATTTGGGGTAGAGTACAGCATGGGCAGAGTGGCCGGGGCCTGCCAGGGTGAGGTTTGGAGGTACATTACTGCCTTCTGACAGCACCCCAATACCCTCGCCAGACCTCAACCTCTAGTGGCCCTGTCCGGTTCAGCAGCCCTAGGCTGCTGACTGGTTCTCAAGGGAGCCCCCTGCTGGGTGACACCTGGGAGGGGCCCAAGGGACTTCTCCGTGAGGCCCCCAGCCATATGGTGCCATCCCCTGCAGCCCACGAACACCCCCCCCGCCCTGTAACCTTCTCTGCATTTGCTAATGTTTTGTGACATAAAGCCCTGAGATTAATTTTTTGCCTCTGTCTTAATTGAAGGAACCATTTAGTGCCGATTTAACTATTATTACCAAATCATCAGGATTGATGCAGTGCACACGCGCGCGCGCCAATCGTGTTTGGAGGAGCTCGGAGGATTTATGCAAATGGGCCTGCCGGGAGAGGCAATTTGTAGCCGAGAAGGACAATTATACCCGGCCCGGGAGTGCGCCAACGACTGCGCCGGGCGGGTAATGGATAATAACATCGCGCAGCAGCCGTGAGCAGCAGCGCAGCGTGACCAACGACTTTATACAGTGCAGATAAAGAGCCTTTGACGCAACTCCGCCTTGCACACAAGGGGCCAGGGCTGGCCGGTGGCTCTGGTGGGGTGATGCCATGGTCCTGGCCACAGCCAGGTTCCCTGAGCTAGCGTAGCCAAGCCTAGGCTGTGGCTTCCCATGCATGGGGAGGGGGTGTCTGTACTGAATGGTGCCAGCCCCCAGCAGGGATCTGTCTGCTAGACACTTGTCAAGGCCCCGAGTTTTAGAAGGGGACCCACTCGGAGTTTAGACATGGTATGCAGAGAGCCAGCAGCCCCTGAAGCCAGAGGTGAGCTGTGACCTTCCGTGCCCATCTATGTCCTTCTGCCCGTCCCCACACCCCAGACTCACTTGGCTTTCTTGCCATCATTCCTGGTGAGCTGGCCTCCAGGACGCAGGGTGGACAGCGAGTTGGAGTGTTTGCGCTTCCTCGGCCTGCCAGGTCCCCGCCGTGCAGGACTCCGTGAGCTCTCCTCTCTCCTGGAGGCCATACGAGAGGGTGTCAGAGACTTACACACATACCTCCATGGACACAACAGGCCCAGCAGAGGTCACTGCCCTGCTGAGGGGTGCTGGGGGCAAGAATAGTGCTCCTAAAGTGCAAGCTGAGGGTAAGACTCAGCTAGGGCCTGCTGCCAATGCCCGCGGCGCTAACTGTCCCGCACCCTGTCCCTACCTGCCCTGCCTTGTACACACTGGCCAGGGAGAGCCCACTGCCCGGCTGCTGCTGTGAGTTTTCGTCTGCCTCTGGAGCAGCTCCCAGCTCCGTGGAGCCCCCCAGCCCTTAGCTACACCCATACTCCCTTTGGCCACCATCCCCCTTACCCCACCCTTGTGGACAGGCCTCTCCCTCAACTGGCCTCTGGTGGCTGCTTCTTTCACCCAGACTTTGCCTCTCTGGGTTCCCAGGTCTCAAGAGCACTACCAGCTCTGAGAAATGCTGGGTCCAGAAACCGCCTTACAGCACCTCCCTCTGTGCTGGCCCCACCCGGGCATACTCATGGTCATGTCTGCGCTGCAGGCGTGCAAGCTCCCGCTGCTTCTCCTTGTAGCGTCGCTGCAGCTCTGCCAGCTGCATGCGCATTTCCACTTCCTGTGTGTCTAGCCGGTCAATGGCAGCTTTCAGAGGGCACACCTGTGTGCAAAGGTTAGCAGCCTGAGAGTTGTGCCAGGGCCTCAGGGTGGGCTGGTGGGAGGGAGTCCAGGCATGCAGGTTTCCCCAACCCTGTCATGGCACTGGGCAGTGTGGTGGCAGGACATGCACTCACAGGCTTGGTTTTGGGGGCCCAGGTGTCCTTGCGCTGCAAGATCTGCATTCGAGGGGTGAGCCTGGGACAGCTGCCTGGGTCAGCAGCTGGGGGCTGCAGTGAGGTGACTGAACTGTCCAGGCTGGCAGCTTCCACCAGGGACCAGGCTGTGGCTAGCGTGGCAAGGTGCTGCAGATTGAAGGCCAGCACGTCTTCATCCTCTGCTGGAGGGACAGGCTTGGGTCACACACTGTCCCTCAAAGAGGTCTTTATGTCTGCCCTTTCCCAGCACAGCTCCAGCCCTGAGCTGTCCAGGTCCCCAGGCTATGAGGACCCAGGGTCAGACCACAGGGAAGAGTCTGCCTGCCAGGCTACAACTTGGGAGATTCTCTCTAGGCCACAGTGCAGGAGTAGAAGTCAGTAGCTAGGTAGAGCTTCCAGAAGCCACGGCCAGTAGGTGTGTACCTGCTTTCTATATGCTAGGAATCGAAGAGAGGACACCGAGATTTCTGCTATGAACCAAGTGAAAAATCCGGCAGACCAGTGTTTCCTGAATCCTAGGCCCATGCAACTGTTCTAGAGCCTGGTTTATAGTTACAAGCAGCTAAGAGTTACCCACTACCTGTCCACTCTCCCACTAGCATGTGTAATATCCAGGCAGCAGGGACTACAGGGAGGTGGATGGTTGACAAAAGGGTGGGATAGTCACCACTATTACTTGTGAAAAGGACCAGGGGGGTCTGGGTGGTGGAGGCCAACCCTGGCCCAGAGTTCAGCTTCAGGCCCCTCGTCCCCTGTTCTTGAAGGACCAGTCACAGTTCATAATCTCTCCTTGGGGCACTGTGATCTGTCACCATGCTCTCCCCTCCTCTCCACCCTCCCAACGCCCCAAAGCAGTAATGGGCAACTCCTGGACTTTTCTCTTTCCCAAGGCATACCCAGGGAGAGAAACTCCCAGCATGCTCTGGCCCTAGGGTAGGTAGTAGAGGGTACTAGGTATGCAAGGGTCATTTGGGGACTCAAGAGCAAGGAGCATTTGATTAAGATCTATTGTATAAAATGCATTAAAAACTCGATAAAATAGCATTAAAAAAGTAAGACACAGTGCAGGTATGCTATAAGCTACCCTTGTGGGTCGCTAACCACAGAAGAAAAGCCGGGAGGATTGAGCCAGTGTGAGGCCAGCAGAGTGACAGCCATTGAGGGAAGAGACCGCCAATACAGACCCTGTGAAGGACCGGACATGCCTGGGCTGATCCAATGACATCTACGAAGGGTCAGAGGAGCAAGCCAGGAGTCCAGGTTCGTCTACGTGGATGCTACAGTACCCTATGAGGCACCAGGAAACAACAAACACTAGCCCCCCAACACTCTCTTGAACTGGTACCACTCTTCCCTGGACGGAAAGGAGCCTCCTCAGAGACACAGCTGATCCCAGCCCAGGGCTAGAGGACTGCAAGATGAGTCTCGAAAGCCAGAAAGTTCTCAAAGAATAACAGGGACATGTGAAAAGCACACAGAGCTGGCCCATGGGCTCCACCAGCCAAACCACGGCAATTTGGTCATCAGAATAAACAGTGACAGCCATGGACCATTGTATCTAAAATGGCTCTGTAACCAGGAAGGGCACTGAGGTCAGAAGACCAATGCAGGGTGAGGGTGAGGGTGGATGGTAGGGGGTAGAGTGTGTGTGTGTATGTGTGTGTGCCTGCACTTGTGTGTGTAGAGGAAGAGGCCTCTACAGCATCACAACCTCTGCACCAGGCTCTGAATTACCAAGGGGCAGGTGGAAGGAGCTGTGCACCATATAGACCAGAGGGAACACAGCCAACCCAATCAAAATCTCAAACCTCCTGACAGTTGACAGGTGTCCTGGAACCCTACCAAAAATGTACCCCCTGAATCTAGTCAGAAGAAAAATGCAACAAAGCCCAGTACAAGGGCTCCCCACAAAGTGATGAACCAGTATCCTTGTCAAATACATGAGGTCGGGGGGTATGCCCAATGCAGGGTAAAGCCAGAGGACTGAGGAACAGTCTCCTCCAAGGGTTGCTTCTGTAGTGCCAGAAGGTACCTGGAAGGGCAGCTGGCAGACGCCCAAACATTTCTGGCCCAGATCTCCACCATGGGAGACCTAGCCTGTAGATTCTCAGTCTTCCTCTACCACCAATCAGGGAGGCCCACCTGCAAGTCCAGGTCAGCTGAGCCCTGTCAGATCCCCTGTGCTCCTTCCTTTGCTCTGAGTGTCCCTAGAAATCATGGGTATGTAGCCCCTACCTGGCTTTGCACAGATGGCTCTTGCAGACCTGGGGCCTGGGCCTGGGCAACCCAAGGGTCTCTCCCCGTTATCTTGGACCCTGGACCTGACTCAGTACCTACTTTTCCCTCTTCCTAAATTGTTTGGTGGAAGAAGCTGATCTGACTGATTTCAGCCATAGCAGCCACTGCACTTTATAAGCACAGCTACTGTTCTAGCAGTGGCTGAGGACTGTCCTATTACAGGGCTGGGGGAATGGTACAGTGTGGCTACTCTAGGAAGGGTCCATGACATGGTTGGGGCAGTTGCTAGGACTCTGTCTCTTGTGATCACACCTGTGACTAAAGCCAGTTTGGTTTGGCAGCTCTAACACCCACATTCGCTTATGTGACGTGCTTCCCTCTCCCACTTCCTTGAAAGGTATTTACTCAATGAATGGGCCCCAGTCTTGCTGGTATTCACAGGCTGTGTGGTACACACACATATGGTGCCTGGCATCCAACTGGTGCTCCCCTCATACTGTTGGTGCACCCCTCACATGGGAGGCCCTGGCAGCTTGGCCCTGACCCTGGGTGCCCCACATTGCTCTGACACACACGGTCTGGAGGCTCGTGAGGGCCTCGGTGGGGGTCCAGCTGGGAGCCCACACCAGTCAGGGTTCCTGGGTTGTTCCCCTGTGTGCAGGCCAGCGGGCTGGCCAGCACTTCCTGGCACTGTCCATCCCCATGACTCCTGACAGGGTGGGTCTGAAGCCACACTACCCTGCAGCCCCCCTCCCTCACCCCAGCTCGGGCCGAGGAAGACAGAGGCCAGACAGGGGCCGTCAGGGAAATTAGCTTTACAAGAACATTCACTACCCCTTTCCAGCACAAAGGCACAGGGCAGTGAGAGTTTTAAGCACTGAGAAAACAAGGCTGAGCCCCAAGGACTCTGCTAGTTCTTGCTATAAATACCCTGCTGTACAATGGCCGGCCGAGGTGCTCCTCAGTGGGAGGAGCTTCCTTTGGGGTCTCAAGGGAAGCTGATGTTTCTCTGGTAGTGGGGAGGGAGCTTTAAGAACAGGGGTAGCAGGGAGTTGTGTGGGGTCTCCCTGCTGGGTACAGACAGCTCTGGCTCCAGGTCTCCTCCATCCTACCATACACATCTTGGGAATTCTTGGGTGTCTGGCTAGGTGAGCCAAGGAACTTTTGGTCTCACAAGTCAGCCTGAAGCAGGAAATCCTGCAGCCATAGCCCTAGCCCTGGTATATGGTATATGGGAGCTCTGAGGTCTGGGGATTCAGCTGATCCCAGTCTAGTGCCACCTGCCCTAGCAAGGCAACAGACTGCAGCTTTCTGGTCCCTTTCCGTCTAACTTTTCCTGCCTTAGGCCTTGACATCTCCTACTTGAAATGGAGACAGTACACCAAGCACTGCCCTTGACACTCAATGGTATGAACCCTCCATAGAGGGGTGGGCCTAGATCCAAATGTCCTACCCAGGACTGGGTAGCTCCACCAGGCTGGAGTAGATCCTGCACAGGCTGGCATGCCTGCCTTTGACTTCCATGGAAGAGGACCCTTGTGGGGCAGGAAGACCTTCTCCCTGGGGTTTTCCTTACTTCAGGGACAACTAAGCCAGCCTGTCTGTCTGTCTGACCCTGAACAAACCTGAGGGTCCAGCTCACAGGATCCCAGGGAAGGCTACTGTAGCCAAGGCTTACCTTGCACCGTGAGCTCGCTCTTCTGCCGTTGGATCTCCAGGTCAGCCAGCTCGCTGAGCAGGGCAATTCCATGAATCCCTGAGCTACGGGGCAGGAGGGCTGTGCTGGGGGGCATGGAGGCTGCTGGGGTCTGAGGGTCTGGCAGGCTGATGTTAGGCAGGTCGCCCAGGTCCACAGTGGCAGCCACCAAGGCGTCCAAGCCTGGCAGTGCTCTGAATGGGTGGCTGTGGCTGGGAGCCCCCCAGTCTGCCTCTGAGCACCCCCTACTTTCCGCCAGCTGCACTTCATCCTCCTGAAGCTGGGCTGTATCAGGGGCCTGCTGTGTGCCTTCATCCTCATCCAGGGCAACTGGGCTCCCTGTTTCCTGTTCCAGTGCTTGTGGGGCGCCCCCTGAAGGGGGCTGTGGCAGCCCCTGCTCCCCAGTCTCCTCCTCTTGCACCCCTCCCTGAGTAGAATTAGTCTGGTCAGTGGCTTCGGTGCCCTCTTCCACGAGGAGGGCTCCGAATCTCAGTGCTCGTAGCCCCTCAAGTGGGCTGGGGTCCTCTGCCTTTCCCGGGGATCCCCGCTTGATGGAGTGGGGTACAATGGCAAGGTCCTCAGTGGCCTCCCTGGCCTCTGAGAGCAGCCTAGGCTCCTCTAGGTTCCTGGGGCTGCAGGGAGGTGGCTCCCCAGGCAGGAACGTCCTTGTGGGCTCAGACCGGGTCCCTGGGGTGGTGGTTTGCATAGTTTGGGGGTCCGGGAGGTCAGAGGAGTGCACATCTGAGGGGAGGGAGGAGAAGCCCATGCCAGCTGTGGGGTTCAATCCTGGAGGCAGGTCTGTGAAAGAAGGCACACGTCAGGAACAGGCTGGGGAGCAATTGAGGAAGCATGACCCCATTACAGAGTGGAAGATGGAGGCTTCCTGGCTTGTAGATCTGGAGAGGCAGGGATGGGAACCACACTATGCTGATGGGCAGCAGGAAGTGATGCCACAGTGCCAGTCCCTTTCCTAGTCAGGGAACCCAGGGCCATCTCTGGTGTGGTCATCCAGGAAAGAGGGGCTTTTAAACCATGAGGCTTGAATTGGGGTTTTTCCTTAACTAAAACAAGCCAGCAGTGTGTCAGAGGCATCATGCCCCATTAACTGCAATGGACAAAAAAAAAAAACCAAAAAATTCAAACTCAAACACAAAACCTCTGCTGGCTCAGTTTCCTCATTGTGGAATTGGGACAGGCTTTATGTTCACCACATGGGTTTCCAAAGTGCTCAGTCTGATCCAGAGAAAATCACAGGCTGTTGGGGAGCTGGTAGGCGGCAGACCCAAGACCCCAGTACTGGCTGCCACATCTTGCCTCAGGCCAGGGCAGGCTGTATCTTTGGCACCAGACAGTGAAGATGTCCCCATGCTCGGCTTTGCTAAAAACCTGGGCTCATTGCTGGGGACAGGTCCCGACTGTGATGTCCTTGATGCCCTGCCACAGGTACATACACTTCCCCATGGATAGTGGAAGAATTGTCAAGAGGAGGAGAAGACCCTTATGCTCTGGAAGGCCCAGGTAGGGGAGGGGCAGCTCCACCCACCTAAGAGGGATAGGGCTTGTCAGATCAGAGCAACTCACTCTCACCTGGTTCCAGTGTGGTGAGGTTGGTTCCAGCCTGCTGGCCCGCCCCTCTCTTGTCCTTGGCGCTAGGTACCTTGGAGCCAGGCCCTGGGCTGCCAGTAGGACAGACAGCTAAAGTGCAGGGGGCGCTGGGACGAGGCGGTGGTGTGGGGCAACTGGTGGGGGTCTTCTGAGTGGGTGAGTGGCAGCAGGGTGACAGCTTGACCAGGCCTGCAGTGGCGGATGGGGGGGTGCCCTTGGCCATGGGGGTTAAGGCAACTGGCTTATGGGTGGATTTGGGGGCCTTCTCCTGGGCAGGCTCCTCCAGCTCCATGTGTCGGTCTTCAGGCTTGCGCTGTCAAGTAGGGGGAGAAGCTCAGATGGCCCCACCGTCTGTACTCTGTGTCCCCACTGCTCAGCAGGAGACATCCAAGGATGTCCTGGAGTCATCTGCATGGAACTTGGAGGGGTAAACCTGCCTTGGATCGCAGCTGGGGGTGACTGGTAGGATAATGGTACCTGGAACTGGGTAACCCGCTGTAGCTCCAGGGCCTGAGCAGCCCGCTGCTGTTGCTGCTGTTGCTGCTGCTGCTGCTGCTGTTGCTGCTGCTGCTGCTGTTGCAGTGCATATAGCTCTTGCTGTCGCAGCAGCTGCGATCGTGAGTACACAGGGAGCTGACCAGGGTGCTGCATGTGTGAGGCAGGGCCCCGGGCACCATACATGGGGGGCCACAGTGAGGCCTGGTCCATAACTTCAGCTGCAGGCAGGACCAGAGGACCATTAGTCCTGGCCACGAGGAAGGGCCCACCTGGGCTGCTTCCCCCATATCCACCAGTCCCATCTCCCTTCAGCCCTTCCCAGTCCCTCCCTAGCCCTGTCCCCCAGAGAAGAAAAGCCACTTCGAAGTTCCTTCCTGAGCCCTGGTCAGGGGCCTGCCTCTCCCCCTCCCCCTCCCCCAAGACTGCTGCCCTCCCTGGACCTACCACCACCAACCCCATATGCAAACAGCCAGACTGGGGAGTCCTTACCAAGTGTGTGAGGGGCAGTGTGGGCTGTGGGCTCTGAGGGCAGGATGACAAGCTGTGTGGGCGCATCCTGGGGGAGGGGAAACACTGAGGGCATGGAGCCTGGCACAGAGGCTGGGAAGCCAGGGGGTAGATTCTGGTGCAGGGCAGGGTGTCCGAGGCCTGAGGAGCAGAGGTGTAGTGGGTCAGGTCAGAGGGCCCATGGTCACTCTCGAGTATCCCATTCCTGGGTGACCCAGCCAGGAGAGGGTGGCCACTAATCCCAGGTCAGCCCACAGGTCTCCTCTCAGAGTACTGACCGTAAGAATGTCCCCCCATCCACAAGGAGGGACTGCGGGTACGGGGCAGCCAGTGGGGGTGGGCAGGGTGGGGGTGGGAAGCCGGGTCTCCACCCAGCTGTCCACCCTGCATCATAAGGTGGGGGGCCAGTTCTCCAGGGCAGCTGCTTGAAGGGTGGATCCGGGCAAATTCCACGAGGTCTTTGTTGTCCCTGTAAGATCACCAGAGTCAGCTCTGTCTCCCTGATGGACACCCCCGCAACACACTGTCTATCTGGAAGGGGAAATGGAGGTGGAAAGCTCCTAGGAGGCCCCATGTTCCAGGCTTCAGTGGGTCTGCTGGCAGAGGATGAGCAGGGCTTTCCAGGAATGTTGAAATGCTGTGTATGCCCTGCAAATGACACCTCCCTTTCTCCCTTGAGGGCTCTGAGGGGCAAACCCACCAAGGGCCCCAGCTCAGTTCTTACTGTAACAGCAGTTCACGGCCAGCCAGTCCCAGGCGGTCATCACATATCCGTGTCCTCTCCTCCTCATTCTCGAGGTCCAGAGCATGGGTAGCACGTGGTCCCCCGCCAGCTGCATAGGGTCAAGAGGGTAGAATGATCAGGCTGCGCTATCCAGGGAGCCAGTGACAAAAGCAGCTCATGAACCTGTCTTAAGTGGGGGGCCAATGCACCGAGACAGGGTGCACACTCCTGGGCCCGAGGGCTTTGGAGGATCTTCTAGGGCAGGTGTAGGGAATCAGCAGGGTTCAGAGGCAGGGAAGGGACAGGTGGCCCTGAGCACTGTGCATGTCATCCAGCTTGTTTCCTTGGTAAAGTGCAGCATACCTTTGAAGGTGGGGGCAGGCCTGCCCTGTCGCCCACTGTTGGTACTGTAGGCTGTATCAGGCCGGCTCACTGTGTCCTTCTGCCGTGCCAAGGCCACCGCAATGCCTACTGGTGGCTGCCGCACCTCCCCATCTCCATGTGGGGTCTCGTGCTCCCGGCTGCGGGCACAGTCAGGCCTCTCCACTGGGCCTGGGCCCTTGGTGGCTGGGAACTTGGCTTCCTGCTGGACACAGCTGGCTTTGAAGCCACCCAGGCCCACAAAGGGCGCCTTCTGGCCCACAACCAGGGCTTGGTTGCTGTACTTGAGCAGGCTCTTCATGGCCGACACCTCATCTGGCGGGTTAGGCAGCTCCTGGGACAGGAGGGCTGCCTGCTGCAGGCCACTGCCAAAGGGGTCCAGGTAGGCACTGCCCTTGCGTTCCTCGCTGATAGCCATGGAGGTACTGTGATTCGTCTGGACACTCCATGGAGGCAGATGGGGCCCGCTATAGCCCAGAGAGGCCAGCTCCAGGGACTTGCGTTTCGCTTCGGCCCCGCTGCCTCCTGGCTCCACCTCAGGGGCCACCAAGTGCTGCTGATGCCGGATCCGGGCCACCTTCTGGGCTCCTGGGGGGCCAGCAGGGGTCTCTTTGCTGGCCACTTTGTCTAAAGTGCAGCAGGCCTGGGTGGCCTTCCCGCCCAGCGGGTCCTGGTGATTGGGCCGGGCACAGTCCTGTGAAGGGGCAGGCAACTCGAAGTAACCACTTTTGTCCAGACCACCTTTAGGGAGTCCAGGGAAGGGGGCCTCAGGGCCTGCACTAAGATACTCCAGGCCCTTTAGCCGGGGGTGGAGGGCTGCCTCAAAGCCTCCAGGTCGCCGCTCGCCCTTGCCCTCAGCCTTCAGGTGGGCATAGGAGACTCCATACGGTGCAGCATGGTCGGAGGCCATGGCCCCATCCAGATGCCGGTCCTTGCCGTCACTTCCCACGGCACAGGCCTCTGCTACCTGGAAGGGGCGGCTCTTGTCGGCCAGGTGTCCCACAGAAGGCACAAAGGTGGGCCCACTGGCCTTTAGGTCCCGGGAGACTTTGTCCTGCAAGGGGCAGAGCCCATCTGGGCCTGCATGCAGCTGCAGGCAGGGGAAGGAGTTTGCAGCGCCCGTGCTGAGGGGCGGGGGTGGCCCTGTGGGCAGGCCGGACGGCACCGTGTAGGATACCGCACGGTGCAGCATCTGCCGCCGCTCCAGGCACTCACTGAAGGCTGGCCCAGGCTCAACGGGGCCTGCTACCTCCTTTGCACAGCGTCCAGATGCTGCCACACCTGTGCCGGGTCGGCCTAGCATGCCCCCTGCGCAGCTAGCCAGGGAGGCCTTGCCCACGTCACCATTGAGTACCTTGGTGTTGAGCAGGCAGGAGGTGAGGTGTTTGGGGCGGCCCTCACAGGAGCCCCGGGGTGTGGGTCCCCCCTCCTTGCAGGGCCCCTCGGTGGGCATGGGTGGCACCAACTTGTGTTGCTCCTTGCTGTTCTCTCCCTCTGCCACTGGCCGCTCCCTGCTCTCTGCAACTTTGCTGGCTTTCTCTTTGCCCAATTCTTTACCCGTGAGGAAGCGGTCAAACTCCTTAGGGCCTTTCTGCAAGGGTGTGGCCTCAACGCGATCCCGGCTGCAGGAGCCGATGGGGTGGGCAGGAGTGGCTCGGGCCACGCCAGGGAAGTTGTGGTTGGCAGGCAGGATGGTGGGCTGGGGGGGCAGGTTGCGCAGGTAAAAGTTATCTGTGAGCCAAAAGAGTCAAGGTCAACAAGAAGTGTGGGGCAGCAGTGGAGAGCCCGGACTCCCCCGGATACTTGTTCTGTGTGACTTGTCAACCCTGGCAGGCACCTATCTGAGCTTCCTGCCTAGGGAACGTTTTTTGCCTCTGTTTCGTTAAACCATAAACACATATGCACAACAAAAACAAACGGTCTTGAAGTGTGCAGTTAGAGGCATTAAGTGCGCTCACAGTAGGGTTCAGCCAACCACCGTCCACAGCTAGAACTTTACCATTTTTCCATACTGAAGCTTCCTTCCCTATTAAACACTACAGAAATGTTTTAAGCTTTAGGATCCTGGAGCTGAGGGCCTTGGCCCTGTCTTTCCATGACCAGCCCAGTGTCTTGGAAATTTTCAGAGTGAAGATGTGTAGAGATGACCCCACAAAGCTCGAATGATGCGGAGAGAACCTGCAGCCTGGAACAAGCACTGTGAATAGCCAAGAGCCTGGCTATGCTGGGGACAGTAGCCCCAGAGCTGTGGCTGCCAGGGGGAGAGCAAGGTCCAGGGTGTCTGAAGGATGAAATGATGTAAAAGAACCACTTCTGGGATATTCTGAGGAGTTCCCCAATTCCCAGCATCCTATCTGGCCATCTCACGCTGATGGGATTGAGTGTTATCAAAGTGAGGAGGGAAAATGGTCTGGGTAGATCACCACTGAACACCCACCCCACCCCACCCCCAGCAGCTCTGATGGGTGGTGGGTGTCCTGTGGGCTCCCTCTGCTGGTTAGTGGACTGGATGCCAAGGTGGAGCCCTGAATCTGGGGCAAATCTTAGCAGCCCAGGTGGGGTGGATATCAGGCTCTGTGAGTCAGCCCCAGGGATACCAATTCTCCACTGGCCAAGCTCAAGGGGGACCCTGGAGGCTGCCCTGACGCCCTTCCAAATTGGGTGGGTGGGCAGCAGGACTAAGCCCTAGCTGTAGGAGCACAGAGGCAGGGAAACAAAAGAAAACATTTGAAACTTAAATTATCCTCAGTCATATAAAGTCCTTGTCGATTTCCTGCTAATTAGAAACAAGGGGGAAGGGGAGCAGGAAGGGGCAGCAGGAGAAACCTAATTAGCTCAATTTCCAAAACCAAATAATGTTCTTGGATGAAGCGCCACCACAATATTGTGAAAGTGGAGAGGCCTGGCCAGCAGCCGCCAAGACACCAGCCGGCCCCACAGCCCAGGGGGAGTCCCTGGGCCCAAGTTCACCAGTCATGTTTGTGGGGCTGGGCCCAGCCACCTGCCCACCCCTGACAGATGCTGTCAAAACAGCTGTTGGCATGGAGAGGCTGTGTGACTAAGGGCTTGGGGGTCCCAGCCCACAGTCCTCAAGCCTGTTCTTGGAAGCGTGTGGCGGTGCTATCTAGGATGAGGCCAGACCCCTGGGTGGGTCTGGGGGAAGCTACCTGGCAATATCCCAAGCAGGGCCCAGCCTGCTCCAATCAGCCAATCTGAGCAAGGCCAAAGCCATTCAGTGCTCCAGTGGTTCCAAAACTCCTCGGAGGCCAAAGGTGCAGGGCCAGCTCAGGGGTCCAGACATGCTAGATACCCTCAGATCCTAGATTCTGGCACCTGAGGGACAGCAGGGGGTCTAGCCCCAGGCACTCTCTGCATCCTGGTGCCCTGTTGATCTCTCCGTTCCTGCTGGCTGCTGGCAGGCTGGAAGTGTCCTCTGCTCTCACTGGGACTCCCTAGGGCTTCATTCCCTATTGTAAGCCAGCACCTACTCACACAGGGACCACTGTCCAGTACCTCCTAGAAGACCCCCCAGCCTCTGCATCCATGCTAGATTCATCTCCTCCAATCATACCTGCTCCAGTAGTCCCTCTCACAGCTTGGGCAAGGAACTGGGGTCATCTGGTACCTCTGCCTATCTCTGCCCCAATAAGCATCCCTTGATATCCTTAATTCTAATTGTGTGGGACCCCATGTCTGAGTCTGCATCCTATCCTGTCATGGGGTCATCTGAAACTGAGCCGTGGTACCAATCCAATGCCAGTCCTGGCCTCCAGCCAACACTACAGGAGAACTTTCCAAAATGCAAATATCCACCTCACCTCTCAAAGTTAAGCTCCACCTGGTGACAGGGTCTGAGGTCTCTGGCCTTCTCACCCCCCCGCCCCCCCCTCCAGCCAGGTCTCTTGCAGATTCCTGGGTGGGATCTGAACACTGCCCCAGCAGTGCCAGCACAGGGAACTAAGGAACATTCCCACAGGATGGGGCTGGGACAGAGGATTCCTCACAGTCCAGAATTGCAGCTTCTGTGTCCTCCTTTAAGAACCCTTCCTGCCCTGAGTGACCCATAGGGGCTCTGGCAAATGCAGGTAATGAAAGCTTGAGGGACAGCATGGCTATGTGAGCGTCCTCACCTGGGCACTGCACTTGGCCCTCCTCTGGACCCCACTCCTGGTGGGGAGAGCTCACCTAGGCTACTGCCTCCACTGGTACCCCCTTAGGCTCAACTCCCAGGATGCCCTGCACCCCACACCAAACCCCACAGCACTTGCCTTTTTGGGTTCCATAGAAACGATGTTGCCCATAGAGAACATTGCTGTTTCCATGGTGATCCAAGTGGCTCACGGGTAGGAAGGTAGATGCCAGGCTCCCCGAAAATCTAGGGTATGCAGGAGCTAGAAAAGCAAAAGCAGTGGCTGTGGAGGCAGCTCTTAGCCCCCTGGTCCTTACCAACCTGACCCTAAGGAGGCAAGAAGTGGGCAAGCAGCCCAGGAGCGACGCCCCCACAGAGCCCACGCACAGCCCACCGGTGGGAAATCAACCCATCAATACATCATATTAACTCTGACTCCACTAATACCATCCCTCCGGTGCAGCACAAATTGAATTGCTGATGGGCTGGAGAGGGGGAGGCGGCCTTTGATTCCCTCGCAGCAGCGCTTGGTGTTGCAGGAGCTTCTGGGCCAGCAACAAAGAGGCTTGGAGAGGCAGCTTGAAAGGAGGGTGCAATAGACAGACTCCCCATGAGTTCTCAGCCAAGGAAGAACCAAGACAGACATGACCCCCAGTCTGAACCCTCCACAGGCCTACAGGCAGCAGCCAGTCCTGGAGGAGTTATGCTGTAACACAGCTGGTCTGGGTGACTCACTCGGGGGAGGTCAAGTTGGGGTGTGGCAGGTTCCCACCTGTTGGAAGCCACAGGTCTCCCCACAACTGGGCTCCCTACAGAGACACCGAATCTTCATGCTTGTGCCTGCAAGGTCCTGACACGGAACATGTGCCTGGGAGAATCTCTGTACAGGGCCTTAGCCTCAATTCCTACCTGGTGACTCTGCTGCTACACAGGCCCCTCCTGGACCAGAGGGATCTGACCCTCAGAGGCAACCAAAGTTCTGAAGGACCATATCTGCACGGTATAGCAATGCTAGCCACGGCCTGGAGCCAACCTGCTGTGAGTATCAGGCAGAGGCCCAGGGAGAACTGGGACACCTGGACTATCAACTCAGAGATGCCCTACCAGGTGTGTGTGGGGGGCACTTCCCACTCTACAGAACAAACCAGAACAAAAGCAGCTGGGCTGGGGCAGAGTAGGGCCACTCCAAAAGAGGATCTTCTCTTGGGGACCTTACTTTTGTCCCAAGAACCTGACTTCTCGGGCAGTGCTGGACTGTGACAAGGGGACAGCAGGAGTCCCTGGGGCTTCCCCAGAGGAATGGGCAAAGTGGAAGCCTGAAGTGCAGGACTGCCACAGTCCCCAGGGAGGAACTCAGGGCAGGCAGCAGGGTGTTTGATTCACAGGCCCAAGGAACCAGACACTAAGATTCCGCTCCGGAGCATCACAATGAAGTCACTGACAAGTCCCGCAGCCTGGCCTTACTCAGGTTTGCTCTACTTTGCGTCTCAGGATTCTTTTAACCACAGAACTCCAGAGCTGTTGAGGTGGTCTCCTTTGAACCACTCGTGGCTGAGTGTTCAGGGGCATGAGGAATCTCTATTCGGGGCAAGCCCTGGAGAAGCAGATCCAGAAATACAAGACAGCTAGTCTCAGTCCCATGTCCCCCAAAGCTGATCTGCCTGGATGCTGAAGTCAAGGAGGCCTCTGTGGCATGGGGCCAGGCAGCTCTGGGGCTAAGGACAGTGCGCTGGCTGAGTAGGGCTGATGATGGCACCCACCATCTCGGCTAAACGAGGACCCAAAGCTGGTAAAGTTTGCAGCATGCACAGGTCCTGGGCAGGGACCTCCTAGAACCCTTGGCTCACACACCACACCACACCCTCACAGGGCCACCACTCAGCCCCTTGATTGATGAAACTGTGGAACAGCCTGGGCTCAGTGGGTCCATGGTACTGCTGCACAGGGAGGAGCTCTGTCTTGCCTGTCTGACAGTGAAGCCTCCCATCTGAGTCCAGAGAAGGCAGGGGGCATGTGAAGGCTCAGAGGAGTTCCATGACACAGAAACCTGCCTGCATTGTACACCTCCTAGACTGAGGGGGCACCCTCAGACCACATGGGAGGACTCAGTGAAGATGCTCACTGTCAGGCCTGTCCCCTTCGTGTGCCCCTACTCCCCCATCTGTCCCTCTTGTTGAAGAGCAGGCAGAGGCTGGAGGACCTGCCCAATTGGCTTGGTGTGTGTGGACACATCTGCAGCAGATGTTAGCCAGATTAAACTCAGCTCCTGGAAGACTTGACAAAAGCCAAGAAGCCAGGGTGGGAGCAACTGGGCAGGAGGGCAGGGGCGGGGGGGGGCGGTAAACCGCTGCAGCTGTCCCCCGTAATTGGCTGCTGTTAAATGTTTTACGGGTCTCGTTTTGGTAAACAGAAGTCTGTAAATTCCTCCTTCCTAGACGCCATTTCCCAGGCGGGGACACCCACCTCACCCCACCCCACTGTTCTCTCCTTGCCCTCTCTGGGGGGCAGTAGGCACTTGGCTAGATAAGGAGGGACGCCCTTCCTGTCCAGTACACGCTGGGGGCCGTGTAAAGGCTGGTGGTCCTGAACTGGTAGTTGCCGAGCCAGGGAGTGGGGCTGAAATGTGCAGGACAGCCCGAGGCCGGGGAGGGGGGGGGGCTCCTCTTCCCAGGACCCAGATGGGCAACTGGTTGGAAGAAGAAATGTAGAGAGGGGCAGGGAGCCCTGGGGGACTGAATGAGGAGAGGGTCCTCTCAGCCCAGCAATAGAAAGACCTCTTCTTTTTCCCCAAGACTGTGCTCTCTGAACTGAACTGGGCTAGGAGTTCTAGGAGGGTCCTGGTGGGGGGGACCCAGGAAGAGAGAGAGCCTCAGACATTGACAGTGGGCCACACCCGAGGAGGCCCAGCCAGTAGCCGGGTGCACACCTCCAGTAGACCACCAGGCTTGCTCAGCTCACTCTCCTACTAGATGGCCCAGACCCCAGAACCTTCCTTCCCCATAGCCTCTGCCCATCTGAAGTTGGAGCCACTGTGATGGCCCCAATGGACAGGTGATACATCTCAGGTACATGCTGCCTTGGAGCTCCTAGCTGACTTGGGGAAGGGCCCCTGGCCAGGTGTGGAAGTTTGGTTGAGGATGCCCCAACTTGCTTTGACCTATCTACTGGCATAGCTGCCAGAAACCCTGGGAAGGGTGAGGTGGTGATGCCTGCTCAATGGTCAGGAAGAGGACAGCGGGTGGCTGGCTGTGGGGTTGCACAAGAGCAGCATTCAAAGGCCAGAGAGAGCAGAGCAGGCAGGGAGATGGGCAGTTGGGTGGGGCTGCCATGAGATGGGGGTTGCTCCTGTCCAACCAGAAGGCACAGGCATCCACGGGTCCTCAGCCTGGTTGTAAGCCTCCTGCTCCCCAGAGAACTAGGAGACATGGGGCCTGGGTAATGGTCCCTGTTCCTCTCCCTTAGGATGCTGCTGCCACAAGTGAATGCCCCATAATACCCTGGTGCTGGCCCTTACCAGGTGACAACCCTTTCACTCAGGATGACAGTGATTTTTCACTGCAGTTTATTTAATGATAGACCAGGGGTGCTGGCTTAAGAATTCTGTGACTATGGAGGCTGCAGAGGTGGCTCAGTGGTGAAGAGCATTGGCTGTTCTTGCAGAAGACCCAGGTCTGGTTCCCAGTACCCACATGGCGGCTCATGACCATCTGTACCTTTGGTTCAAGGGGATCTGACGCCCTCTTCTGGCCTCCGTGGGCACTTACATGCAGGCAAGACACTCATACATATAAATAAAAATAAATTTCCCTTAAAAATTTAATTAAAAAAAAAGAATTCTGAGGCTGGATTCACATGTAACTTAATTGACTAGTAATGTCTGTCCTGGGAACAGGCAGGGTGTGGCAGTCAGTTCACAGGATGCGTGCCATCCTTGCTTTAGTGGCTGAAGAGTAACCTAGCAACAACCCAAGTTCTTGCCAAACACCCCTGCTTGAGGATTCCCTCACCCCAGATGGTCAGCCATCTAGGCCTGGATTTCAAAGTGCAGCTCCCAGGACTGACCACCCAAGTGGCTGGGCTTAGAAAGGCAGCCCTCAGGGTGTGTCTCCTCCACAGGCCTGCAGTACTGACCCACAACCACTCAGGGTGCAGGGCCCTGCAGTTTTCATCTGTCCCCAGGCTAAAAAGAATAATTAAGTGTCTAAGGGGTTAGGCTCCCAAGGGCAGGCTGTTCTGCATCCAGGGACAGGCCCCCGAATCATAGGGAAGAGCTTTGGCACTGGCCAGCACACAGGGGTAGAGGGGCTGGGGAAGGCAACTGATAATTGGCAGAGCCTAGAGCAGGAGTATCCTGGGTATATAGCCAACACCCTGCTGGCATCTCGGACAGTAGTTCTGCCTTGCACACTTTCAGCAGCACTCTCAAGCGGGTCATTGTGCCTGCAGTCCCACTCACCCACGGGCAGTAAGCAGGTGCATCTGTCAGGCAGGACCCGCAGATGTCAATCAATCCAGGAAGATACCTGACTGGTGACTAAAGCCAATGCCGCCATCCCAATGTATATCTGCCAAAGGATGTGGGAGGGAAGGAGCCACTCTCTGAAGTTCTTGTCCTGTGTCACTATGGGTCCAAGCAGCTACTCTGATCAGTGTGATTTACAGGTGAGGAAACAGGCTCAAAGCCTCCATCTGGGCATGTGGACCTGAGTCTAATGCAGCTTGAGGGCTACGAGAACTGGAGGGTGAGGCCCTGAGACCCTATGGCTGCTTCCTTCTGGCTATAATGGGGCTGGCTGGAGGTAGCCTGACCAGTGGGACACCCTGATCCCCAGGGCAGGGTCTAGGAGCTCACTCCATGGTGTCCCCCAAATCTTAGGGTGGCCAGCTTTTCCCAGCTAGCGCTATGGACATGGATGGGAACACCATGAGATGCAGAAGGCCTAGCGTGAGGGAGAGAACCATGGAGGGAGGGCCAGGGCTAGGGGACATTTCAGTCATAGAGGCACACATGTAAAAATGGGAAAGGGGGCTGCTGGGTGTGGTGGTTCATGCCTATAATTCCAGAACTCAGGAGACAGAGGCAAGAGGATTGCAAGTTCTAGGCCAGACAATCTCAACTTTCCTGAGAAAGACTGTCTCAAGAAAACCAAATAAAACAGAAGAAAAGGAGGAGCTTCCAGTGTCTGGAGAAAAGGTGCCTGGGGCAAGTGCAGCTGCCAGGGGGTAGTCCCAGAGGGCTACAGAGCCTCTGGCCCACCCACACGGGTGCATGCTGGGTAGAACCTGTCTCCCTGTTGGATGTGTTCCAGCTCCTGCTTATTCCTGTGGCAAGTTCTGAGGCCTCACAAGCTACTGAGGGAGACAGAGGCAGCTGAAGTATGTAGGAGGCTGTGGGATCTGGAACAGCAGGGCACACTTGGTGGCTCCCGTGTGTGGCTCTTGTCCTGCGGGAACCTGGCCAGGCCCGGATGGAGAAGTGGCCACCAGGGTGGGTGTGGCTTTCACAGAGGATGGCTAGGACAGCCAGAGCACATGTGCCCATGGCTCCCCCTCCAGGTGGCACAAGAGACCACTGCTAGCCTGGCTAAGGCAGCTCCAAGCTCCTGCACACACCGCACCCCCAGCAACAGCATCCCCTTTCATTGCCCTGTGGGTGGTCCCAAGCAGGCAGCTGGGGCGGGGGGCTCGCTGACAATAGGGCCAGCTGTGCTACACCACACTCCAGCCCCATCCACCTAGGCCAGGTTGGCGGACAGCCACTCACCTCTGCCCTAGGCTTGTTCTGCTGTCCACCCTACCCCAAGCCCCTGAGGGTCCACTTCTGGCAAGACCCCTCATCTTGGGTGAGCCAAGGGGCCAGAAAGCCTGGGGCTGAGCAAGCAGGCCTACCCCAGGCCAGATGTTCCAGGGCGGCTCCTCCATCCTCAGTGTGCATCCCCTACACCCCCAGCTGTTCCAGGGACACAGGAAGCCTGGGCCCCCGCTCTAGCAGCTGCCCTGCAGATGGTGGCGGGGGGGAGGGCGTCTTCTGGCTGGTTGAGAGGCTGTGTCTTGCAGGGGGGCATCTACGGTTACCCCTCACATGGGTAATACTTGTCAGCCCCATCCTAGCTCCTAGCTCTGGACACAAGAAGACCTCCGGAGGCAGGAAAGGGGCAGTAAGCAGGCTAGGCTTCATACCTGCCTCCCGGTCCATCCTCGGGGTGGTGGAAGGAAGCAGGACAAGAGTGAGGCTGGGACTCCTGGCTTACTGCCCAGGCAGCCCCCACGCTGGATGGCCCCCACTCTTCGGCCATGTCGCGTGCCCCCTGCCCGCCTCGTCCCCCACCCTCCTGAACACACATGGCCGAGAAACAGGCCCCAGCACGTGGAGCCAGCTGGCACACCGTCAGACTAGCAGCCAGGCACACTGCCAGGGCAGCCAGCCAGCCTGCCACTCGCTCCTGCCCCGCCCTGGTCCCTACCGCACAGAGCCGGCTGAACCATGTGGCCCAGCAGGGAGTGAGATTGCAGACATACAAGACAGGGAAAGCCCTGCAGGGGAAAGCACCCTGGGGTGGGGGGGTGGGGATAGTGAGAGGTAAACTGAGGCACAGGCCTGGAAGATGTATGTTGTCACATGACTCCGAGACAGATGTGGACTTGTTGACACTCTCAAGTGGGACTTGGAAGGTCGAGGGTATACATTTCCCACTCCAGGACTGCTGCCTCCCCACATACCTGTCTCCAACCCCCAATGCTCTGCTGTGCAGAGCCCTACGTGGCCTACTTCTGCTTCATCCAGCTGTGTTCAACCTCCCCTACCTAACTAGGGGAACTCACATAGGCCTGACACAGTGGGTGCCCAGCAGTGGGCAAAGAGACAGCTGCTACCCTTGGAGCTGGTTTCAGAGACAAGAACTTTCTCCTTGCGACAGCTAGTCTTCCGTAAGTGCCAGGTCCCTCTCCCCACCTTGAATGCAGGATGCCAGACAGGCCTTGGTCAAGTGGAAAGCACAGGACAGAGGCTCCACCCTCCCCAGCACACTGCCTGGATACTGGCCTCCAGCCAGATTGAGACCCTTGGGGTTGGGGCAGGAAGATAGAACCTGCAGAGGCTGGGCCCCATGTGAGGGGCTGAGGTTTGAGGGTACCCAGGGTAGGGCGTAAGCAACTCCACTAGACAGCCGTTGATACAAGGGGAAGTGAGATGCTAGAGGCCGTTGTGGGTAACTGGCCCAGTGGGGAACAAGATGAGGCTCTAGGGCAGACGGTGCCACCCACAAACCATGCTTCTTAGTGGTATCTCCTGGGGTAGGATGGAAAGGAAGCAGATATATGTGCCTCTATAGAGCAGGGATAGACTGACACGCCTGGGCCCCGGTGAGACGTTGGTTACGAGGGAAGCCAAGTTGGCTGGTCCAGGTATACCCATGGACCTGTAGTCAGGCCAGGGAAGATAGCTCTTACTTCTCGGGTGGTGTCCCTTGTCTGCCCCTTCTCCTTTCTATAAACACCCTGGGAACCAGATGCTGTGGCCAGCTGGGGAGATGCCCAGGAGACACAAAAGGCTGGATGGAAAAGTAGGGGCTGGTGCTCCCTACAGGGCCTGGGCCACTCACTGCTGGCCAGGGAGCCTCCTACCAGGGCCTGGCTCTGCTACCTGTCTTCTCTCCAGAGGCTGCTGGGAGGGCATGGACCGGAAGTATCACAGGTGGGTCTGGGCTGACGACCCCACTCCGCCCACTTGGTCCTCAGCACCCAGTTGGCCACCCTCTCTCTACCAGGGAGAACATTGCTCCTTATCGCCTGCCCAACATGTGTACTCCGAGCAGAGCCCAAAGCCTAGATTACTTTAACAACTGTCCCTCACTCGTCACCTGTCCTGTTTGGAAAACAGCCCCTTCTTACTACACAAAGAGTGGTTTCTCAGGCTTCCAGCAGTGCCGGGTGCTAATCTCCCTGCCTAAAACACGGGCGGGCTGTGCGCCGTGTGTGGGTCCACTGCGCTCTGTAAACACGACGCCTGAGTGCAGCAGTCATTGAGTTACGGCAGTGCCTGGTGCCAGGAGCAAGAGCCCTGTGTGCCCGCTGCCAACTGCAATTACCTCCTGAGTGCCAGTGGGGGGAGGGGGTTAACCCTTCCCACACTGTGGGGGATGCACAGCCAAAGGAATGCCAGCAGTGACCAAACCAGAGATATTGGGGGCCCAGAGCCCAAGATGTAGAGCAAACCTCAGGCATCTAAGCAAGGCACATGCTGCCCTGGGAAAGGCTCAGGAGAGGCGTAAGTTCCCAGAAAGACTCTGGAGAGCCTCCTGTTTCCATGATGCCTGACAGCAACAGGTACTCATGAGGCACCAAAGTGCCTGAAGTGCAAGGCTGGTGGCCTGGGAGGAGCTCTTTGTCCTACGCAGGCCCCCGTGGGGAGGGGACAGCCCGTGCCTGCTGACAGCTCTCTTCTCTCCAGCTCTCCCTCCCAGCTGGCACATCTGGAACCCACACCTCCTTGAGTCTGGGGTGGGGGGTGGAGGGCAGTCCATGGCGAGGGGCACAGCCCAGTCCAGCTAGCCCAGCTGTGTCCCACATTTCCTCAGCTCTCGGGAGCCCTCCCTGCCCAACATCTGGAGCACACATCTGGCCAGGACCAGAGCCTAGTGGGGCCACCCCATTTCTAACCAATTACCACCTCCCCTGAGGGGCTTCCTCAGCAGGAGGCAGTTCCCCTGGCCCAGCATGCTTAGCAGGGCCCGTAGGCAGGGTTTTACCAGTCAGTCCCCAGCCCCTGGAGTATCCCTGGGAGCTTAGAACCTGACTTACCTTCGTGGGAGTGGGAGAACCAGATCTGAGAGGTGGCGGGGTGGGATCCGCGGTAGGCCTGCTCAGAGGGGGAGGACGTGGGGCCACTGGGGTGTGCAGAAGCTGTTGAGCCCAGGCTGCTGGTGAGGAAGCTGCCCATGAAAGAGGACGCTGGGGAGTTTCCCATCAGGCGGCCGCTGGCTGTGAACACAGGGCAAGAATGAATCTGTGGCAGCCCCATGGAGCTGCTCTGCAGGACAGGGCCAGCACCCTCCTCCAGAAACCCTCTTCCAGCGTGCTTCTCAGGCCCCAAAGCTCCCACAGGGCCTTTGTCTTCAAAATATCCCAGAAGCCTATGGTAGGAAAAGCTCCTGACACAGACACTTGACAGTCACAGTGTCCTGGGCCTCCTTGTTTCCCAGGTGTCCCAGGACTAACACCCCTCCTACTACCGCGAAACCAAGAGCGATGCCTTTTCCACATGACCACTGCCATCTGTACTTCTAGCACTAACAACTGCACTACGATCACTAACCATACCCCCACCACCAACTGCACCAACAACCATACCACCAAGAACAACCCCACCACCCCCACCACCCAATCTCTACCACCTGTCACATCACCACGACCAGCAACCATGCCACTAACCACATCACTCCCTCACCACCAACTATACCATCACTACTACCTAAACCACTGCTACCACCTATACCCCCGCCACAGGGCACACCCCCCAACAACCAACCACCAGATCACTAACACTATCCATGTCACTGTCCCACATCACCACCCCGGCTCCCGCCCCCACCCCACCCCACCAACAACATAGCACCATCACCACCCACTATCACATTGCTATCACTCCTACCCACATCACCACCACCACCATCCATATTACCCCTTCACATCACCATCCCCACACCACCACCACCTACATCATCCCACACTACCACTACCAACACCCACACCAGGACCACCACCATCACTATGCACATAACGTAGCCAGTATTGTTCCTTCACCACCACCATTCATATCACCATCAACAACCATATCACCAGCACCAATCGTCACATCAACAACAGCCGTATCACCACCATCACTGTCATCCACATTACCTCCACTATCACTATCACCATATCACCATCGTTATCACATCACCTAGTCACCATCATGTGCTCTACTTCAACATTCACACCACCTCTACTGCCACAACAATATCATTACCACTGGGATCTAACAATCCACATCCCCTCTACCATCAATCACCATCCTCACCAACCAGGTGCTTAGTACAGAGTCAAATACACTTAGCAAGGACCTGTGGTAGACAAACTGCCCTGTGGGCCTTCTTGGAGGCGCAGCACCTTGATGCTCTTGGGCTATGGCAGTTAGCGCCCGAAAGCCTCTCTCTGTTGCCGGAGGGCTTGTCAGAAAGCTTCGTCCAAGCCTCCCTGAAAAGGCCCAGGTGATGCACCCAGAAACAGCAAAGCCCAGACAAAAGGCTGTGAACCAGTACAGTAGGCCCAGAACTCTCTGCCCTGTCCTGGGCAACATGGGAGAGATGGACCTTTACTTTTTCCCTAGGACCACTTAACTAGTTAGCCTGAGGGCCCCAGTCCCAGGTGAGCAGGTGGGATGAAAAATGGGAGATGGCAAGGAGGTTAGAACCACGGAGAGCAGCTCTTAGGCCCCTCTGGGTTGCTCAGGGTCAGGGACTGACTGGGCTGGCAGTGAGTGGTAGACAGTCATTTATCTGAAGCTCAGATAATGGAAGTCCAAGGCTTCCTGGGCTGAGCTAGCATTTTCCTTGGTGGCCTAGAAATGCAGTACATGGTGAGCTGTCCTTGGCCTCAGGCCAGCCTCCACTGCCTGTTTATCCTCTTCTTCTGCCTGTTGCATCCCCCGCTGGTGGCTGTCGTAGTCAATGTCCCCTCTCTGCCCAAGTCCGGCAGTCAGGGCCAGGCTAAGTAGTCTCCCTGGTTGTCATGGCTACGAGCTCTTGTCCACACACGACATACGTGCACTGGGAGCCACTGCACACAAGGCCACTCAGTGGGTGGTCTGAGCTGCAGTGCTGGCCCCTACTCCAGCACGGTGTCCTGGCACCTTGCCACCTCTGTCCCTGGGCATCGAGCCTGGCCACAGCCATCCCAGGACAGACAGTGTAGGGTGGGCCCTGGAGGGGCTCTGGGCCCAGGAGGCAGGAGGCCGGCCCAAGGTGAGTCAGGGCAGTAGCTTTCCGCCCAAGAGGCAAGGGAATTGGTGAATTGGTGATGCCTCATCCTGCCTGGCTTAGCCCTGGGAACTTCCCAAATCCACGGTGACTCAGCAGAGAGGCAGCCAGGCTAGGGGAGGGGACTGCCCCGTGGGACCCTGGCATTCACACTGAGCTCTGCCAGCTTTCAGGCCTGTGGATCACTGCAGGCAGCTTCTTCCTCTCCTGGTATGAGGGGATGCGATTCACAGTAGAGACCTTAGACATCACCAGAGGAAGGGTCTGTGAATGCTGGCCGGGGCAGGGCTGCAAGAGGGCCTGTGCTTGGTGCTGGCCCCAGAAGAGTAGGCTAAAGGTGCCCAGGAGCCAGGGACTTTCCGGACAGAACCACATTGCTGGGGTTGCCAGCGGCCTCAGGCCAGACCACAGGCGTTTCAAATCAGAGGAGGGGACTCCAGGCTGGGAAGGAAGTGCTGGCCTCCCTGCCCTGCTCCAGGGACCATGGGGGACCATGCTTATGGGCTGAGTATGGCTTCCCCAGCTGGAAACTTTCTGCCTCTCCCCCTAGGCCTGCCCTGAGTCCCCTAGGCCTTCCCATCCCTCCTACCCGCCCTCACTCCCAGAAACACCACCCACCCCTTTCTCTCTACCAGGGTGGGAAGCAATAGAGTCCAGAAGTTGGGTCTGGAGAAGCAATTCCTCCATGATCTTGGTCTGAGAATCTCGTACCTTGAGTTTTCCCACACCACAGTGGACAGGGTAGCATTAACCCTCATCTCAGTGCCCCATAGGGCCAATGGATCCAGAGAAACTGAGGCAGGGCAACAGCTGCCTCACACAGTCTCCTGGCAGGGAAGGGGAAAAGCAGGAAACCTTAGCAACCAAAATCCCACCGCGTCCCAAAGGTCAGCAACCTGGACTGGGCAGCTGGGTAAAAGGCCCACAGACTCCACAGCAGGGAGTCTGAGCAGCTAGGCCCTCAAGCCAGGGCCCAGGGTACGTGGGTGTCTCAGGCTATCATGCCCCAACCCAAGAGACTGATCTCATCCCTGAGAGAGACTACTGCTGTCACTGCCCTGTCCCAGTAAGTGACTTGCAGACTGGGCCCAGCCCTTCCAGACCGGGGCCCTTCTCTGGCCACACTGGCCTGTGTTCCGACTTGGAGGAATGCTCCTTTACAGCTGTTCTCTCGGAGCCCACCAAAGCAGGAACCGCCGCCCCTCACAGCCCTTCCCTTTCCCTGCCCTCTGCCCAGTCACTTCCTGTGGGTCCTGGCTGTGGGGCGGTCCACCAGGAGTCCCTCACTCCTTTCCCTTCCGTGCTGAAAAGTGAAGGGCCACGTGCTACGCCCTCATCACACAGATGCTGCAGATTCCCTGCTCTGAGATCACTGCCCGAGGGTTTCAAGGGACCCCCTTCTGGGCACTGGTAATCTAGGTATGGAGTCTTCCTATATCCCCATACAGGAACTGGAGTTGTCAACTTCCTTCTAGTAGCCCAGGATGGCCCTGGCTTGTACTCTTCTTCACCAGCACGGGCCACACATGATAGTGACTGATTCTCTGACTTTGAAGGAGTGAGGCCCTCCCCACCATCCTGCGCCAGCAGTAAACTTCAAGCTGGGCCCAACTCTTGGAGCAGGGGAGACACTGCTACCTCCTTGAGCCCTAACCCCAGCCCACCCAGCTCCTGAGCAGCTCGGAACACCCCAGGACAGGGCATCTGTGCTACTGTCACCTCCACCTTTAAGAACTGGGGCCATGGCACTGTGCCAAGCTAGCAAAGTCATTGGCAGACCTGGCAGCTGCCTTCCACCCCCGTCTGCTGACCAACAGCCAACCCCAGACAGAGCTGGTGCAGTGGCTGCCTGGGAGCCCAGTTCAGCCTGGGCCCTAGCCAGGGCCGGCACCTCGGTCGGGCCAAGTCCAGCCGGGAACTGGGCTGAAGGCTCTTTCCTCTTGGCAAAGTCCCTTGTCTACTGAACGCTGTGGTCACCAGCCTAGGAAAGACAGTGGGGAGCCTGGAACAGTGGGAAGGCCCAGAGGGGTTACTGACTGAGGAGCCTCTTTGACCATGTGCTCAAATCTTCACACCAACCACATTGATGCGAGGTTCAAAGTAACAGGGCATGTTCTACCCTGAATCGCCAGTTCCAGCCCACAGCTCCAAGTGTCAAGTAAGTTGAATAGGCCTGCAGAATGATGCCTTTGTACCCCGAGTTGGCCCTCTGAGGAGCCTCGGTAAGTCCACTGCCCCTAATCCTTCACTTATTCCAGATACGGCACCTTGAGTATCTTCCCGGGGAAGGTCTGAAAACTATGACCTGACATGGCAGTGGGCCGCTGGGGCAGGCAGTTCTGTACTGCACATCAGACCCCACTGGTGGCTCTAATGCCTGGCCTGCAGCTCTCCATATACGGCAGGCTGTGGTCCTAGCTCTGGGGCCACCTTAGCTCTGCCCAGGACACTGTGAAGGCCTGGCCTGGGTGCCTGACTGGCTGAGAAAACCACTCTGAAAGCCAGCATGCCAGAGGGCTGGTTTGACATGCCTCAGGCAGTGAATGCCAAAGACACAGCCTCATCCTTAGGAGGCTAGTCTGTCCCTATGCCAAGGCCAATGTCCTGTACAGGGCCATGGGCCACACCTGGATCAGGGCTGCTCCAGGGCGGCCAGCAGGAGAAGGGCCGGGAGAACAGCAGGGTGAAGCACAGAACGGGCTGCTGGGAAGCCCACTGGCACCTCACAGGTTTCAGATCCCTTCCAGGAAGATGCTGTACCTCTGTGATGAGGGAGGAGAGAGAATAGGAGTCACTGGGGCTGTCCTAGAAAGAACAGGCCCTTCAGCCTGGCATTTGGGGGGTATGGGTGCTGGAGTCCAGGGATACCTGTTGTCCTCCTGAGCCTTGTCAACTTGACACAATTAGAGCCATCTGAGAGGAGAGGCCTCAACTAAGGAATTGCCTACATCAGGTTGGCCTGTGGGCTTGTCTGTGAGAGACTAGGCGTCTTGATTACTCATTGATGTAGGAGACCCAGCCCACTCTGGGTGGCCCCATCCCTTTAGCAAGTGGTCCTAAGCTGTATAAAAAAGGTAGCTAAGGGCTGGCAAGATGGCTGATGCCCTGAGTTCAATCTCTGGGACCCACGTGGTGCAAAGAAAGAACTGGTTCCCACAGGTTGTCCTCTGACCTTTTGTATACACCGTGGTAATGCACACACCAACCCACACACAATAAATAGATACAATTTTTTTAAGCTAGCTAAGCATGAGCAGTGAGCAAGTCAGCGAGCGAGCAGCACTCCTCCACGGTGTCGGTTTTAAGCTCCTGCCTGAGCTCCTGCCCTGACATCCCTCAGTGATGGACTGTGACCTGAAAGTAGAAGCCAAATAAATCCTTTCCTCCCCAAGGTAACTTTGGTCAGAATGTTTTATCATAGCAACAGAGAAAAGCTAGGACACCTGGGGAAGCCCTCTGACCACTAAGCTGGACTCTCGGCCGGAGGCCACTGTGTGTTGCCCATAGAGCGGAAACAAGCTGCAGGGTCTGGGAGGCAAATGTGACCTATGTGGCCAGACACAACTTGTGGGGCCTCCTACCACCTGTGTCCTGGGCCTACTTGCCTGTTGTGGCCAAGATGGTCCACAGATGTGATGTCAGAAAGCCTGTGAAGGCTAACGGTGCCCAGGAGCCTGGATGTAGCTAAGGGAAGCTATGAGCTAAGGGCCCTGGAGAACAAACACCCATGGCTCTGACTGGATCCCTAGCACCCTGATGAGGGGGCCTCCAAGGATCTGGTATGCTATAGGCCAGGCCTGGGTAGCTGGATGGCCAGATGCTAACCATGGTCTGTGCACCTGGATCTCTGGCCAGCCTGTCCCATCTTGGTATTGTGATACTAGCCTGAGCAAGTGGGATAGGCCAGATCAGAGCTTCAGGGAAAACAAGCATTTGTTTTGAGTTAAGCAAGCCACTGAAACAGCATCCTCCTTTTCTGGAAACTGTGAAATGGGTTGTAAAAAAAAAGAAGAAAAAAAGGAAAAAACAGAGCTCACTGAGATGGTGGCAGCTCCTGAGAAGTCCCTTCCCAGGCTCTCAGCGCTCCCGGGGCTTCCGGAAGCCCAGCTGACGGGCTGCTGGCGCGGGTCTCCTTGGCTCGGTGTCTGGCGGCTGCACCCACTGCCTGCGCCAGCTCCCATCCTCCTGCTCACACCTATTCAGGCTCCCCCTTCCCTCAGCGTCAGCTTCCTGCTCAGCCTCCTTCAGTACCCTGCAGGGCTGACCAGGCAAGGGGAAATACCTGGCCCACAAGCTGGAGACACCAGGAGTGAGATAAACTAGAGTGGTGAGCATCCTGGGGGGTGGAAAAGGAGGAGAGCAAAGCTTGTCTCCTCCCACCGGGAGACAAGCCCAGAGGGAACAGAGAAGGAAGAACAGACAGCCCCTCCACCCCACCCCACATTCCTCTCATTCCAGGAACCCCAGGGAGAACAGAACTTCCACACGGGGCTTCCAGCCAGGACTTAGACCTGAGGGGAAAGGTTCCAGTCCAGCCTGCTTGGAGGATGAGTAGTATCTGCTCCTCTACTGCCCAGCTGGAGGAGGAAAGGTCAGGGGTGGGTGTCCTGGTAGGAGGGGCAACTGAGACCCCTCTCCCAACTTGGAAAGTGAAGCCTCTGGAGGGCAGGGCTTAGAGGCTGCCCTCCAGCCTGCACTGGTCTGTTGCATACACGCACGGTCTCAATTCCCAGATGGAGACCATTGGCATTGTCACCTCCTGGAGTCAACTAGGTACCCTTACACCGGACGATGTGGGGAGTGTGTGCTGCATGTAGGGTAGAGGTGGGCTGGGATTGCATGCAAGCATTCGCAGGGCATCTCCAAGTGTGTACTCACATCTCTAAGTGTGTGGCTCTGAGTGTGTGTGCATGGCTGTGAGTGTACACACACTGGGAGTGCGACAAGCCCTAGGGTGTGTGGCTGCGTACACACCTAGGATTGCAGTTGTAAAAGCCTTTACACACTTCATTTTTGAACATAAGGGTACACTGACTGGACAGGTTCTCCAAAAAGTTGTTTACGAAGTGTCAGATGCCCACACTCATACAGACTGGCCTAGGTGGACTCTGGCAAGGATCCTGCACTAGTCTGCCCACCCCCTCCACTAGAGCATGGCATATCTGAGCCACCTGGGGTAGGAGGGGAAGTGTAGGCTCAAGTCTACCCTAGACCACCACTCTAAGACCTCTGATGCAGCACAGCCTCCCCACTGTCTCTCCTGGGGCAGGGAAAGTCCAGACCTGAAAGTCAGGAGTCAGGAGGGCTCTGGAGGGCAGGCCACATAGCCAGGTCTCCTCTTTGTCCTGGAGAAGCAGGACCCAGCTTTCCTCAGACTCCAATCTCAGATGCCTCTTCAGGGGCACACAGACCATCTTAAGCAGGTACAACGATCCCCTAAAGCATCAAGTCCACTGCCAGCAGGTGTCAGCCTGCAGCTCTGAGTGGCCTCTTCCGCCCTCACAGTCCGGAAGTGTCTGAGGGCACCTAGCCCTCACAGGGCCGCCACACCACAAAAACCAAGGGACAGCTCCATGAAGGTGGCTAGAGAAGAAGAGGCTAAGACCGGCTCAGAGAGAGGAACAGAAGAAGGAAGGAGAGGAGGGAGGGAGGGTGGAAGGTCCTGGAACCACGGCCTGGGGCGGGGGCTGAAGGGGAAGCCAAGAATGCCGAACAGTGGGCGTTGGGCTAGGCCCATCCCTGGGACATGGGGGTGGCCTGGGAATGATCATCTCACCCGGGAAGCCCCTCAGCCCGTCCAAGAGAACCTTCCGGAAGTCCCAAAGGAAGCCACTCTCAGGCCATAATAGGAAAGCTCTGTGGTTGCTGAGCCACTCGACTGGGCAACCGTGGAAAAGGCCGGGAGGCAATGATGACAGAGGACAGGCCTAACCGACAGCCCAGAACTAATAAAAGAAAAGGAAAATCGGATATAAGTCTGGTTCTTATTAAAAGAGTAAATTTAGCCCTTTGGCTAGGACAAGAGGCGGGGTGGCCAAGGCTCCCCACTGGGGAGGCCCTGGATTCCTTCCCAGAGTGACTCAGTGTCCCAGGACAGACAGGGGGGTGCTGGGGCTACAGGAGGGGTAGGGGCACATACCCTCTCCTCCCATTCTTCATAGCCTCCTTTGCACCCCTCCTTCCAGCCTACCCCCCTCGACAGCAGGGTAGCCAGGACATCCCCTAGCTGCCAGGACACTCCTGAGGGTGGTGGGATGGCCAGCAAGGGCGTGGGAAGGTGACAGGCGCTAGTCAGAACTACTCTTGTGAGCCACACCTCCCAACTTGGAGCTTCCTCCACAAAGCAGGCACTTCCCTTCCTAGTGCCTTGAAATAAGCCAGCCACACAAAGGAAGGCCACCCTAGTGTAGACAGCAGGGCCTCACACACATGCGTATTTACATACAAGGCTACACAAACACATACACATGTGCGAGAACATGCACATACACATGCAAACATATGCATACACCTACACTCTCTGGATACACAACTGCACACACGCCCCAGTCTGGGTGTCCCCTCAGAGAAGCAGTGGCCTCGTGGGCAGGGCTGCAAGCTCTGGTGCAGCTGTGGGTATCTATCCTGTCCTCCTGTACTTGGCTGCTCACCCAGGCCCTAGCCCTCAACCCTGAACATGGCCTGTCTCGCTGTGGTCACAGAGAGGACAAAGGTCAAAGAGACAGAGGCCATCACCAATCACACGACCTGTAGGATGAATCTCCATGGCACTGGGTCCACGGAGAGCCCCAGCTGGCTTGGATTCACTATGGAGAGCAGGCTGGCCTAGAACTCACAGAGATCCTGCCTCTGCCTCCCAGCTGCTGGAATTAAAGGTGTGCGCCACCTGCTCCGGCTTCACAGGAGAACTCTTATGCTTCCTAGCTGAATGTCTGTGGGTAGCAACTTCACCCTGCTAGCTGGACTTCCCCTCCTGCCTAGTGGACCAGCCCTAGTGCCTGTGACTATGATGCCTCATCCCACCCTGGCCCCACAGTGATGACATGGCCTGCACAGGGTGGAGACACCAGGGCAGAGCAGCCTGAGAGAAGTCAAGAAGTGAAGGGAGGTGTGAGGTGGAGGCTGTTAGGGGCAGCTCCCCATCCTACCATGGGCCCCCAACCCTCCCAGCTCCATTCCTGCTCACATTCCCTGGCCTGGCTATGTGAGGGCCTCTGTCCTTGTGGCACAGGCCTGGTACCTTGGCCCACAGCTGGCCTGTGATGGTTCTGTGTATAACCATAGCCCTAGACTCATAGCACTGCAGGGACAAAAGGGCACTCCACATCCTAACCTTCATTTCCCACCTGCCACCCACAGCCCCACCGAGAGGCTCCATAAGGTGGCCACCCAGGCCTGGCCAAGGAACGGTGAGTATTTATGCTGTGGCTCCCCTGGCCTGGGCCTCCTTGCCAGCACAGGGCACTTAGAACTGGAGAGACCCTGACTTCTTGCTTAAGGCCAGGTTCCTAAGCCCCTTTGCTGCAGCAGGTAAGTATAGGATTCTCTGCCCTATGGATACCAGTGGTGTGAGGGCTGGGAAACACCACATCTGCCAGAGGTAAAGAAGGGACAGCTGTAGCCCCCATAGCATCCCAAGGCAAGCCATAAGGCTGAGAACTTGGCTGACTTGCGAATCTTGGAGGACCTGAGGACTATCCCACTACATGGAGGCCCATGGTACACACACACACACACACACACACACACACACCATACTTCACTTTTAAGTCGGGTAGACACTGGCCTGTACACACACACACAAACACCCACACACACACACACACACACACACACACACACACACACACACACATACCCTATGAGGCTCGGGGGTTGGGTGGTGGCCTAAAATGCACAAGACACACACACACACAAACACCCACACCCACACACACACACACACACACACACACACACACCCTACCTCACATTTAAGCCGGATAGACACTGGCCTGTCTGTATCAGTAAGCTTAAGCAGGCAGCATAGTAGCAGGGACAGATGTGCACATGGTGGCCTTTGCCTTTGGCCCTGGGTCAGTTGCTGGGAGAGTTCCAGCTGGCCATAGGAATTGGCTGTCCTAATCCCTGGGAAGGAAGGCACCCAGGGCCTGACTCCCAGCATGGTTCGGCATGGCTGTAGCACCCTAGAGGCTCAAGGGACACTGGCTTCTGCAGGAAACCTGCAAGGACCAGGCACTCTGGATCCCTGATGTCAGCGCCAGCACTCTGTCATTTCCAACACAACTGCCTCAGGTAGGGTTGGCTCCAGGCACTCTGAGACTCCTACTCCTCACTCCCCTTTTCGAGGGAACTCATGGCAGCCATTCCGAAATTATTTCTCAAGACCTCCTCTGAAAAGCCCTGCCTGACTCCTTCCCAGTGAAGGGCTCCTCCTTGGAATTCCCCACCACTGAAGGACCCTCCACTCATCCCCTCTACTGCATGTGCAAGGGGCTGTCTCTTGCGGCACTTGGCCCAGTGCCAGACATCAGATCTAGGCAAATCCAGGGCCTGAGGACCTCAAGCCTTGGATGACTAAGGGAGAAGGAGGAACATGAAACGAACTGCCTTGTGCCTCAGAGAGCAGGATACTCTAGGCAGTCAGAAGGAAACGGAGGCAGCAACGGGGGGGGGGGGCGCGGGGGACGGACACGACTGACTCTAGTGCCCTTTCCCCTCATGGGCAAGTCCTGTGTCCCAGAAGACCGCCCAGCCTCAGGTGCTTCCACACCTGGCAAGGTGGAGAAGGGCAGGACAGAGGGCCCTTGGAAAGCACGGAACACCAGGCATACCCAGGAGAGAAGTTGAGCTAGGCAGTGAGGGCTGAAAGGCTTTGTGGGATTTGCCAGGCCCAGATGGAGGGGGAGGGAGGGGTCTAGGGAACCAATTAGCATGAAATGATGGTCATTTCTCAGTGAGATTGCATCATTGTTCCAGGCTGTTGAGCAGAGGTGGGGACTGGTCAGCCCCCAGGGACACTGTGTCTGCCTGCATGCACCCCCTCTGAGAGGTCTGGGGTGCCCTCCATCGCTTCCAAGTGGGGACACAGAGGCCAGGAACACCAAGGCCACACAGTGAGGCTGAGGGTCACAGGACTCAGGCAGCACCCTTTGATTCCTGCTCCAAGATAGGGACACATCCCCAGGCATCTTGCTCTCTGGCACAGGGGATGCTTTCCGAGAGAACGAGGGCGTGGGGGGCATGCTCCTGCTCCCTTCAGTAGACACAAGGCTTACAGCCTTGTGAAAAGCA